CTGGCAGCCGCCCCTCCGCGCCCCGGCGGCGCTGGGAATTGGCTACAGCGGCGCTACTTTTTTTTATTTTTAATTTATTTTTTCCTTCTTCTTCGCCCTCCCCCGCCCCTCCCTCCTTTACAGTTTCTCCTCCCTGAACTGCAAGCTGCCAGGGCAGAGGGCTGCGCAGCGCAGGGCCCGGCTTCCAGTGATAGTTGATGTCGGCGTGGGGCGTCCCAGGCAGCTCGCTGCAAAACGCGTTAGAATGGAAACACAAATCTGCCCCTCCAACTGGGGACCCCAACCAAGCCCAGGCTGGAAAGTCTTGGTGTAGGGGAGGAGTTAAACCTCTTCTTGTAATTCTGGGGAACGTGTTTAACCTTGCCTCTGATACGCGATCAAAGCCCGATTTATCGGAGCATGTTTCAATAAAATGACTATCTGTGTCCTTAGTCGTATAAACGTTATTTATTGTGATATCTTTTTGTCATGGTGTCTTCTAAATGCCACTTAACTATATATTTTTTGGAAGTCACGGCTTTAACGATTTTATGATCGTATAAAATAATGAAAATTCAAGAAAAGGACATTTTCTTCTGTTTGATCCCTTCAAAAGACACCTATAGAAGTTTGGATTTTATGAAAGGTACCTTTCGAAACATTTCAGGACTAATAGAGACCATCTGGATACAGATGATGTAATTTAATTTTTTCAAGGTTTGGTTTGTTGGTTGTTTTTTTTTTTAAAAAGTACTGCACGGATCTGCAATAGCGGGGCTTGGGGTTCTCCTGAATGCTCCACGTTATTAAAAAAAACCCCAAAAAAACCCCCCAAAAAAAAACCCCAAAAAACAGAGGGTCGATGACTAATTGTAAAGGATTTCCACCAAAAAGGCAGAGGTAGCTGCGGCTCGGGACCCGCCGGAGGAAGGCTCCGGGGCGCTGAGGACCCTCCTTCCCTCGGAGTCGGTGCCCGGGGCTCGGCGCGGGCCCCCGGCGCTGCCCTGCCCCTTCCCTCCCGCAGGTACATGGGCGCCGTGGGCTCGTCGCGGGTCATGTGCGACAACGTGCCGGGCCTGGTGAGCCGGCAGCGGCAGCTGTGCCGCCGGCACCCCGAGGCCATGCTCTCCATCGGCCGCGGCGTGGCCGCCTGGACGGCCGAGTGCCAGCACCAGTTCCGCCGGCACCGCTGGGATTGCAACGCCCTGGAGCGGGGGCAGCGCCTCCTCGGCCGCGTCCTGCTGCGCAGTGAGTCCCGCGGGATGAGGGAGGGGCTGCCCGAGGGCGCGGCTGCGGCCTGCAGCTTCCGCGGGCCGAGGGAAACGGGGTGTGGAGAGCCGGCGTGAGGGTACGAGTGTTTCTCCAAAGGGTTTGAGAAACCTCAAGAGGGGCTGTTCTGAGCTGGCAGCCGTGGGCAGTGTGCGGGAGTGATGCGAAGGGTGGCCATCCACCTGTATCCGTGGTCTTGGTTTTACATTTCAGGAGGAAAGGAAGAGGACATGCAGAGTAATTTTAGGGTCTCAGGGACAACAGAACAGCATATATGATAACGTGAAGGTCTGTATTGCTTAAAAACCTGTATGAAATCAGGGAGATAATGCGAGGTTTTGGCAAACCCACATATTAAGGCCTACAGGGAAATTGAGGTATGAGAATGTGGCAGCAGGACAGAAGTCTTTCCATCACAGCCCAGCCTCAGGATAGCAGTACTCGGGATGGGGCCTGCTGAAAGGGGCAGCTCAGGTGCGAACAGGAGCCCAGTGCATTGCGATGGCAGACGACAGACAGTCCCTCAATCCCTCAATCCCTCAATCCCTCCTGCAGGCCGCTTCCCGCTGCGGCGTTTCCTGAGGAAAGCGCAGCAGCAGGGAGCAGTCCCGCAGGGCTGTGCTGTGTGCGGGCTGAGGGCTCTGCGCCCATGCCGGGGCAGCACTGCCCGCCAAGGCACCGCGACATTTCAGGTCAGGCTCCGGGGGAGAAAGAGGCAGGGCACACACATCTGACAGAGGTGAGCCGGGCTTGTGCAGACTCCGAGCAACTGAGGACTACGTTGTGCTTCCCGCGCTGAGGGAGGATGGGTAAGCAGGGTGGTGGTGTCATCTGGAGGTCGGAATAAGGCCTAGTGAGTCTTCAAACCTCAAATGTGGCCCTGTCGACTCAAAGAAATGGCAGGATTTGTTCCTGTGTCAGAATGTCCTTACCCGGGGGATAAACGTGCCGAGGTTCTTGTTAACTGCAGCTCTTTCCCCAAGTGCCACACCCTGTGCACATGGCCTTCCCTGGTGTGCAGCCGGTGGGGCTGGCCCTGCCCTGGCACTTGAGTCCCTGGAATGCTCCCGGCAGCATCCTGAGCTGTGAGCAGCCTGGAGGGCAGTAGGACGGTACCCTGGGACCATTCCCCAGAGAGGAGAATAGCGGATAGCGGTGCTGACACAAGCAGGGGGATTTTCATTCTGCACTAGGTTCCTCTGCTGGTTAGCCATTGGTTCCTGTGACCAGCTTCATGTTCCCTCAGCAATTATTTGTGAGTAACCAGTAACCTCACCCATCGGCTGAAGTTTTCAATGAGGTTTTTCTGATATTCAGGAAAACATGTCTGGCAGAACATAGCCTAATAATGATGAGGCTATTAAAAAAAAAAAAAAAAGGAAAAATGCAGTTTTTCCAAAAGTGAAGTTTTCACTGTTGGCTCATGTTGAGAGAATGACAGCATCAGGCTTCTGAGCTCTGCAGTGAGCCTGATCAGGCTGTGAATGCTATGGAAATGTAGCAAGATAGTGCTCTATTAAAATAATAATTTCAATAAACTCAAAAAAACCTTTTCCAACAAAATAAAGTGTTTCTTTTTAATTAACACTTTACAAATTTTTGATATTCCTGAATAAGTTTTCTCAGAAATAAGTCTTCAAAAGAGCATGATTTGTAACAAACCAGGGTAACTTCTGCCTGGTTTTGAAAGCAGTGTAGGAAGCATGGTTTTCCCAGTCCTTTTGTAAGTTTTTAGTTGCCATTTGTGAAAGGCTTGCACAGCATGTGGAAGTTCAGTTCATTTGTAAGTTAAACATACTGGTGCTACTGCAATTGAAATACTAAATAATAAGTTCTATGGTGTAAGTCTGCCCCTATAAAAAAAACACAGTTAACATTTGTCTTTGGGGTCTTCTTTTACTGTGCTAACATTACTTAAGGCTTACAAGCCCTGCAAAGAGGTCCTTCTCACTGCAAGTCTTGTGCAAGATATTGCACAAAAATCTACTTGTCATTCTTCCTATGCTAAAAACCTTAAAAGTAGGAAAATATTCCATTTCCACAAATGGATTTGTGGTAGTGTAATGTAGCTTTGTATTGCAAACTACTAAATCTTAAAATAAAAGCAATTATTACATTGAAATATGTACCTAATCACCTAAGGGTGGGCATAGTCTACAAATTCAGGTAATCTTTGGTATAATAAAATATCTTGATTAGGAGATGGGAAAGCTGCCAGAGCAGCTGGCATGAAGAAGTCACAGCTGCCAGACCAAATCCTGCCTCACGTATGACACAAGCATTGCCATTGATTTAATGGAACTTATTTGTATGAATTATGGTTATGGGCTTGATTCTAGGCAGAAAACATAATATTAACTTATTTTTCAGAAGATAACACCCAGGTTTTCTCCCTAGCATGTTTTAAGCAGGAAAATCTATTTCAAGAGCTTCAGGAGAGGAAAATCTGGTTTCAAGAGTTACTTGCAGTATTTTGCAATATACATGATGTTTTAGTTTCCCTATTTAATAATTTCCTAAACTTATCTCTCAAATGGCACTTAATATATTCTTCTAAATTCTTGAAACATGATAGGAATGCCAGCTGTCCTATTCACATATCTGTATAAAACAACTGATCCATGAAAGTATATTAATCAATATCAGAAGCAAATCTTTAATATTTTCCAACTCTAACACTATATTGATGAACTTTTACCAGGGAGGAGTCCAAGTTTAAGCCATGACTAATTCTGGCTCCAGGGAATGTGCATTTGTGTGATTTCAGCCTATTTTATCTTTCACTCTGCAAAAAAGTCCAGACTAACTGTCTGGATATAGGACAGCCACTCAAAGTAGATACCCCAATGATATTGAAAGTGACTTTTTTTGTTTCAGGTAGTCGAGAATCTGCTTTCGTCCACGCCATCTCCTCTGCTGGAGTTGTTTTTGCCATCACCAGGGCATGTAGCCAAGGGGAGCTGAAATCCTGCTCCTGTGATCCCAAGAAGAAAGGCTCTGCCAAGGACAGCAAGGGCCATTTTGACTGGGGTGGCTGCAGTGATAACATTGACTATGGCATTAAATTTGCCAGAGCCTTTGTGGATGCCAAGGAACGGAAAGGAAAAGATGCCAGGGCACTGATGAACCTTCACAACAACAGAGCTGGAAGGAAGGTGGGTGTTCAGGAAGGTAGGAAGGAAGGTAGATGCCTAGAGATGTTCTAGGACAACACTCTAGTTTCTGGGGCAGTTAATGCTTGGCCCCTGCTGTCTGGGCTCAGCAGTTATGAAGAAATATGGGATGAGCAGGAGCCTGAGCTGCTGTTTCTGTCTGCCTTGGAGGTTCTGTGTGACAGATCTACAAACAGACTGCCTAACAGTATTCCTGTTGGAGTCAATTCAGTCGCTCTTTGTGTGGAAAGTTAAGCAGGAGTCTAAGCTGCAGGACCAGTTTGGATGGAGGTCTTGTTTTCAGCCTAGTTCTTAGATAAGCAGGAGTTTTATTTTTGGTAAATACAGAATACAAATTCCTAAGAGAGGCTGAAGATCACACTGGAGAACAGGCTTGACAAAAAGCAAATTCAAAATAACTCTTGAGAAAAATGTCCATTCTGCCCTTCTATATTTGTGTATCGTAAACCTAATCACAAAGTGAGCAGAGATAAAAGCTAATTACTTCAATTTTTAAGAAAATAAATCCAAAATACATGTCCCTCCAAAAAAGCAATGTCCTTGGAGCATGACCTACAATCCCTTTTCTAAACTTTTTATGAAAATACCATTCCTGAATTGCAGCTGAAAGAGTCTTTACTTTCACATTGTAGATAAGTAGGACTAGTTGCCAGGTGTGTTGCCCATCTCTGGTGCAAGGGCTGAGGAATATCTGCACTAACATTTTGTGGTGGTATCTATAAAAAGTAAGAATAGTGCATGAGACTGGAGTATGCTGTTTCATTATTTAAAACATGTTAAAAATTTGCTGCTCCCAGGACATCTGAAATAATAGAGAAAAAAGTTTTATTGTGTAGACTGAGCACTTCTGGAATTATTTATATAGACTTTTTGTGTCTTATCTTTGGTTTTCTTTAATGTATATTTAGTAGGAATTAAGTTGTTTGTTTTCTGATCTTTCTTTGTACTGCAAGTAGATGATTTTCCTGAAAAATTTTTGTTCTTCAGCATCTTTCCTCCTTGCTGTTTATTGCCAGCAGGTGTAACTAATATTTAATGTAGGCAGATGAGGTTATTCAGATCAGTGATAGGCACATGCAGTACTGTGGTCATGTTTATGTTACTGTCCAAAAGAGGCTGAAGTCTACAACACAAACAAAGATTTATTTTAAGGGTGAGTAAGTTTCATGATGGGAAGTCCTTTCTTTAGTATTTGAGCATCTTATAAAGTTTTAAAAAACACCTCTGCCAAATACTAAGGTAGTACTGGTAAGGTAGATTTTTAGAGAAAGGTCAAGAAATTTTAATAAATATATTCAATTAAAAATAATGAATATGTTCTCATATGCTCTAGGACTTGCTTTTTGGCCAGAGACACTGTTTCATATTCACAGTGCAGTGTAGTGTAGGTTTAGCTTTGCAGGGATCTCACCACCTCAGCTGCCCACAAGCCTGGCATTTTGACCTGGGTAAGACCATCTGGGCCCTTTTTATTTTCTTGCCCCCAAAAGGGGTGTTGATAGATTTCTTTTAAAACAAGACTATTCCAGCTGTGTTAATTAAAAAATAAATAGAACAAATATTTATAATACTGCCATTTGTATAATAGAACATAATATGCTGTATATCAGTATAGGAACATCACTGAAAAAAGAGATCTGCATTCCTTATGTGTTTCTTCCACTATTCCAGCAAGTTGTTTTAAAAATACAAATAGTTAAATTTATTTCTGTTCAGATAATTAAAACCAAACATCTGCTTAAATCCCATATTTGTGATATTGCAATGAAGTGGGGCTGTGGGAATGCCAGTGACTTCTTTGAAGTAGTCATATCATTTACAAGTTGGAAAGAAAATTAAAAGTCATTTTGTTTTATAATACATTCTCATGTTATTACTAAGCGCTTGACTAAAAAAGGCTGCCCCACTGTGCATCAATCTCACTTTTAATCATGGAGATTTCTTCTCTCTTACCTTCCTCCCATGATGACATGCCTCTTGTACAAACTCTAAAAAGTTCCTATTTCATGAACCCTTAAGGCATAATATTTATAAATCAAATATCCATATCTACATAATTATGTATGGGCATGAATTATTTACTGTCTATGAACCCATGTATTGTTCTCCAACATCATACAGATAGCTTAAATGTCTGAGATGAAGCTGAAATGGCTTTAATGCTATCCAGATGTTAAATTAATGATAAGGGCGATCTCTCCAATGCAAACTAATGAAGATTTTATTCTAGAATGTTTGTTTAAAGCTGTATAAGCATTTTAAGTATACTGTATTTTGAAATTCAGCATAGATCTGATGCCTAGCCCAGGTACAATGCTTTAGTCATTTAAAAGTAATTTAAATATGAAATGCCTATGAATTTCTGGGCAATATTTGAAACACTGTTCAGGGTAAAGGGCAATTTCATGAAGCTGGAGAGGGTCAGAGAGTCAGCGTGGCGATTCTGCGGCTGGAACAATAGGGAAAGGGGGCACCTTTGCCTCCCAAGGGGCTGAATGATTCTGGCCGTTTCTGATAATTTCCTCCTGTCCAGTGTGTGTCCTAGCACTATAGATCACCTCGATCCTTGTGATGAGTGGCAGGAGCAGGAAGGTAAGCCCACCGATGGGAGGATTGTGTGTACGGTGAGTAAAGCACCCCGAGCAGACCAACCACATGGGGATGACTTGATGCTACCAGTGGGTGTCACTACAGACCGTAATTTGGAGAGCCATCACACAGGCCTGGCACTACAGGATGGATGGAAAAGGGCTGAGAAGCAATTAAGTACACTTTGTTTTACCTGTGTATATTTACATTTACCTGTGCATTTCTAAACAGGCTGTGAAGCGGTTTTTGAAACAGGAGTGCAAATGTCACGGTGTGAGTGGATCGTGTACTCTAAGGACCTGCTGGCTGGCCATGGCAGACTTTAGGAAAACAGGAGATTATCTGTGGAAGAAATACAATGGAGCAATTCAGGTGGTCATGAATCAAGATGGCACAGGTTTCACTGTGGCTAATAAGAAATTTAAGAAGCCAACTAAGAATGACCTGGTATACTTTGAGAGCTCTCCAGACTACTGTATCAGGGACAGGGATGTAGGTAAGCCTCTATCATTACATGTGAATGCTTTTATTTAAGACATTTGTACTTCAAAGGTCAAAAATTATAATTTTACTGAGAGTGTGTGTATATGTGTATATACATATATACATACACACACACACACACACACACACACATACACATATATGTATAAAAATAAATAAATATATAAATCCATGCATATAACCAGCAGGAAACATGAAAGAAGATGTTTTGGAAGAACTCAGTACAAGCACAATAGTTCCTTGATGTCTCTAGGTGTACAACAGCCAGTTGTTCTAATATAATTCAGCAGTTTCTGCCAGATGCTATAGAGCCCTGGAGCTGCCGTAAGGCACAGCTGCTTTCAGTACAAGTTTGAGTTGTGCTCTGGAGGCAGGTCCATACTGGGCACAGCCACACTCACTCTTGTGCCACACAGCTTACTCCAGAGCTGCCCCAAGTCCCATGGTGTCCCTGTAATGCCACCTCCTGTTGCATTGCTTTCCTTCCACGTTATGCTAACACAGTGGTGCCCTCCTTCATCTGCACATTCCCACAGCTCTCTGTGACTGTGAACTGTGGGACTGGACTGTGTCCCCATCTAACGTGGGAGATACAGCTTGTGCCAGCCCAGCCCTGCTTGCACCAGTCAAGGCAGCTGCGGGTAACATGGGGTGAGGCAGCTGGAGGACTGCAGGTGGATGAAAGGGGAGAGGCCAGTGGGATGCAGCACGCTTGGCTGGGTGACACAGCTGTTTATTCCTCTTTAAGAGGCAGTGTTGGCTCTGTCCATGACAGCCATCATGTTTTTTGAAGAGTTGTGCCAGACCCCGTGGGAAGAGATAAAGTATTGGTGCTGCTCTTAACACTGGATTTTCCTGCTTCAGAGATTCAGTAGAGACACACTTAGTGTTATAGAATTCAAAGCATTGCCAAGCACCAGGAATCCTGGTGACTGCTCTTGACCCATGTATAGTATTTCCTGATGTGGAAATTAAAAACTAGCAACTAGAAAACCAGAAATTTGGAAAAGAGAGGCAGACTGAGTAATGTATGAGAGCAGTTGTGGAACTAATTAATAGGACCAGATTGCACCCCACATGACAAATCCTTAAGTATCTGGATAGCAGTACAGCTCAACTCCTTTTGGCACTGCTGTGTGTTTACAATCCAAGTTTGCTCGGAATAAACATTTCAAAACAGCTGTACTTAAATAAGAACAATATGTGAATTCCTTGTCATGTACTGTATTGACTTCAATGAATCCAGAATTTTATCCAGTACAATTACATTGTACAGTGTTTCTGGTTAGTTAAGTCGTCAGCATCATTTTAAATGTTATTTATTATTTTGGCAGGGGATGTTTATTTGCTGCATGAAGACATAACCATTCCTTGAATAGTGGCTGGTGCTGCAAAGTCTAATCCATGTGAACAAATGGGCATATTGTGGAATCATGCAGATATTAACTTTGCAGACTAGGGTTTTTTCATTGTAAAAAACATGATTTCTTTTCCCCTGGAAAAAGAACTTTTACACTACCCAATTCTAAATCAAAAATCCATTTAATAATATCTTTGTACTAAGCCTAATCTCTTCTGTCAGTCTTGTTGTTGTGGAGGAGAGTGGGCACTTTTCATCATAGTGTACTCTGTGCATTTGCCAGACACTGGCAAGCCTGGCCAGAGATGGCAAAGTCTGACATGTTTTTTGGCTCAGCTCAGTGTAAGGCTGCAGCTGAGGTGGTGTTTCTTTGCTGCCCGGAATTCAGAGAATGTGGTTGTTTGGAAGAGCATATTTTTAGAAAACTGCAGTATACCTTTGATGGGCTGTGGGATGCTGCTTGCATGGAGCAAAGAAAGAACCACACAACCAACCTGATCTGGCTTTGAGTGAGATGATTTTGGTAGCTGCACCACATTTTTTTCATTTTTTGGTTTGCCTTGTTGAGCATTGCAGAGTGCCAGCCCTGTTAAATGACTGCAAATGAAATGAGATTATGAAAGTCTGAGTTTGGAAGTAGGTGGGGAGCATCTCCGTGTCAGCTGAATCTAATACCACAATGTATGTCCTTGAATACAGCTCTGCCTTTCAGTCTCCAGGGAATTCAAGCAATTTAGTGCTTCAGGAAAAAAAGAAAAAAATTATCTGGAGATTGGTTAATATTGGAGCTGAATGAAGGATTCACAGAGCAAACCTTATGAAGCATCATGACTTGACCAGGAGACAACTTCACAAACTGTAAAATGTCCAGGCCAATGTCCTCTGTGGCTTGATTGTGCTAGCACTTAGGAACCAGGGAGTTAAAAGTGCTCAAGGATTCTGCCATCAGCAGCATACCCAGGAAAAAAGCAGATACCTTCTCTTTCCCCACTGGAGCTTCCACCCTGGATCTACCATTCTCTCTGAGGGTGCAGCTGGACATAAATACATGGAACACCCCAAAACGTAGTTTGTTTGTTTGTTTGTTTGTTTTTTCTCTAGAAAGGAAAAGAGGAGTAATTGATTTCAGGAGGGGTGTAATATAGGAAATCACTTATAGTAACTCAATAGCAAGATAAAGTAATAACCTGACCACCCCTTTTCTTGCCTTAATATTTCACAAAGGACCAAATGGAGATTTTTCAGGAGTGTTCAAAATTAATTTAACTGTGCACACATAACTCTGCTGAAATAATTTTTGCTCACAATTTCATACTCAAAATTAGATAGAAACAGAGACAAAACAGAGAGCTTTTAAAAATCATCCTATGTAAACTTCTGTTTTTATCAACACATGGCCATCTCTTTAGTGCTGGCCTGGGAAATCCCAGCCCCTCCAGACAAAGCTGCCTCCAATGTGTACTGCCTGTTCTCTCCAACCCTTCTGAGCTGGGTGTTGTCCATAAGATCCAGTAGCTTCAGAGCTACTTTTGTGTGAACATTTCCTTTAATTATTTTTTCCCCAAGAACACTTCTGAGGAAACTATTGTTGGGTATTTCACTGGTTTTGCACTTTTTTTTTGCTTTTGTTGTGTATGTGTGTGTGTGTGAAAGTCTAATAATTGATGTTATTGCTTGACACCAGATTTTAATCAGTAGAAGTTGAAGGAAAAAGCTCTCATTATATACTAATAAATGCATTTTAGGGCTTTAAGAATGGAAAGAAAATATTTTTCAACATAACACATGTTGACTTCCAAAAATAACTGTGCAAACCAAGAAGAAAGGACTTGATGTACAGGCTGTGAAATTGGCAGTATGAAAAGCTGTGGATGTTTTGGCCGGTAGAATGTGTGTAGGCATGGCAGTTCCAACATTTGAAATGAAAACAAAGAGGTTGTACAAGAACTTTTTACAAGTTAGAACCTACTCCTGCCTTGTAAGTGCTGAGGAGGTGCATTGCAGGTAGCAGGCAGAAAATTCTGCCTTACTTTGTGCAGTGTCTTCTGCTGCCTTCATCACTTGGGCCTGCCAAGGAGCGCAGTAACTTGTCTGGCTCCTCACTGCTGGTTATAGTTCATTTTCCTTCTCACTAGAGAAGCTGCAGAGATTCTGAAGATGCTGTTTGAACTTTAAAAAAAGCTTGGTTTTGCTCAAAAACTAAGCCTTCATATGAGCTTGTTTTCACTTTTGTCACAATCTGTGGATTAATCCTGTTAAGTCTCCTGTCCTAGCTGTGTAGTAAATGTTGATGTTTTGTGGTCAGCATCAGATGATACCAGTTTCTGACTGTCTGAAATAATTTTGTTTTTTAAGCTAGGACAAAACTCCTGTTGAAAGCAGTGGATGCATCCTGCTTAGGTTGTCCTTTAGTGCTGTGTGATTTCCCCTTACATCTGGAAATAAGGACATTTAACATGAAAACTAACTTGTGCCTGGGCTGTGGAATGTGGTCAAACTTTTCTGAGCAGCTCCTGATGGATGTGGGGGAACATGGGGTCTTCCTTCACCTCCAGCAGCCAAATGACACAGCCCAACTCTGCTCCTGGTTGGGAGTTGTGCTGAGGTGGAGGGCAGCTTTGTTTTTCCTCCACTGGTGTGAATTTCTGATACAGAATGTTAATCACGTGGGTCACAAGCTTGGCCTTTGTACTGTTTCTTTGGTCTGAGCAGAGAGAGCAGGACAAGTGCCTTTAAAGGTTCTTCATGGAATCAGTTAGGTTGAAAAAGACCTCTGAGATCATCAAATCCAACCTTTGAGCGAACACCATGTCATCTAGATCACGCACTAAGTGTGACACCAAGTCTTTCCTTAAGTATCTCCTGGGCCAGTGATTCCACCCCCTCCCTGGGAAATCCATTCCAGTGTCTAATAACCCTTTCTGTGAATTTGGTTGTATTTTGCACAGCCTGGGCTGTGATGCATATTGCTGCGGGCTGACACAAACAGCATAACTTACATTCAGGTATCCCAGCTGTTTGCTCAGCATCATGGATGGAGGAGAGTGGGAAGCAGGATCTGGCTTTTATTCTGCCACAGGCTTCCTGTGGGACCACAGGTGCATCATGTAGTTCTGCATGGCCAACTCCTCAGCCTCTGGGGGCACTGGGGGCCACTGGAAGCCTCTCTTCCCCCATAATGGAGTGATTCCTGAAAAAAAGATCTGGGAAAGGCTTCTTGGCATCACATATGCCATTAGTTGCTACAGTGCAGCTGGCTCTGCAGGGAGAACTGCACGGCTGAGGGCCTGCTGGGTGTAGAGTGTGCCCATGTGGGTCACTGCTGGGGGACCCTCTCCTCTCCGGGCCTTCCTGCTGATCTGGCACCAGCTATAGGGACAGCAGGCCAGGAGAAGGAGTTACTGCTGGTTTCCTGGTGCAGGGTGTCCCTGATACACCACATCACTGGCTGTTACAGCCAACTGAGATGCTCCCCCAAATACCAGGGGCTTACTTTAAAGCCCATCTCCCCAGGGATGTTAGGCAGAGCATTGGTCCATAGGCAGCAGCATGAACATGCTCAGATCCCAAAGGAGATTTGGGATTTATCAGGCTGCATTTTTCTGGCTCCATTCAGTGTGTTTTCTCTTCCCTCTGTCAGTTCCCTCTGGGGTGGCCTGGCAGCACCTTTGCAGCTCAGGATCCTGAGCCAGGGCCAGGGGCTGGCGCGTGGCTCTGGGATGGGCGGCTGTGGGCACTTGTGCTGAGCTGGGGGGCCGGTGGCCACCAACACCCTTCTGCTCTGCCTGCAGCAGACATGAGCCAGCCACTGCACAGAGAAGCTCTCTGAGTGTATACCTCTACCCAATGCATATTGAAATATTTAAATAAAGACAGGAATCTAGGCCATTGGAGGGAAGCTGAGATGTGTTCTAGGGGCTGAAGCACTTCTCCAGGACAGCAGTTGAAGACTGTCCTAAATTTGGTGCAAAAAGAGGAAAATTTGCACCCCTGTGGCTGAGAGGCTGGGTGATGTGTCAATCCCATGAAAAAACAGTTTGAGAAGGTGACTTTGGTCAGGTTCCTGAGATCCCTCATTGCATTCATTAGTGGTTTGGGGTCAGCCCCCATATAATGTAAGTCTTCCTGATGCTGGCGAGGCAGCAAGGGATGGAGACACTGTGAAGACTTGTATGTTATAAACTGCTTTGAGACAGCAGCATCAGTGCATACAACCATAAATCCACCGTAGGGAAAAAAAAAAAAGGAAAATTGGAATTTATTCAGCTTAAAATTGGAATTTATTCAGCTTAAATTATTAATAATTACAATTTAACTGCAGTTTACACTTTCATTAATTAAGATTAGTTTGCTATCCTAGCTCGTTCAAATTTTAATTAATATTTGCATGTATTTGTTTTCCTTAAGAATGTAAATTGTTCATGTTTGGTGTGCACCTGCAAATACACATTGTAAAATATTTCATTAATTTACTGACCACAGTCTTTACTTAGGGAATATCACCTTGCCCAAGACGAGAATGGAGTTGTAATCAGGTCTATGGAAAATGTAAGAAGAATGTTAATTTTTTGGATATATCTGCATTTGATTCATAATAGCTATACATAGGAAATTGGATGAGGCAATTAATTTTTTTAAAGTTTTCAGTTTGGTGGTAATAACCTGTCAGCAGGTATAGTATTGATCCTAAAATGTACCTTAAAATCAGTTTGTGTTAGATGAACAGTGGTTCCTATGCAGTACAGTCACTGTTTGGACTAAGATACGCCTTACAGAGACATTCTACGCCATGTGGATATAGGTGCAGGCATTTCAGCCACTCCTCCTGAGTGTTTCAAGAACGTGACAAGGTGTGGTATGGTTCCTCTCCTTCTTTCTGTCCACAGCAGACTGTAATTTGTAATTACAAGTTTCTTGTAGTCTCATGAAAGGAGAGAAGAACCCTTGGTATTACCCCACACAGACCTGAATGGGTGGAATGGGGCCTGTGGGTGGACACAACAGTGATGCCAAATGCTTCTGCACTCACTTCTGCAAGACTTTATTCATTGGCAGCACAGTTACTTTACCCATTGAGTCCCTTGCAACCACCAAACTTTGTGGTCTTCTCTTTGCTGCACACCCAGAGCTCCTCAGTGAAGCCCATGAGATCCCAAGCACCACAAGGATGCTCCACCTGGGCATCCCATTTCAGACAGTCCTAGGTGCAGGGAGCAGGATTGCCTTGGGAAGGATGTCTGCTCTCTGGAGGGGGAGAAAGTGCCAGGGAAAGATGAAGCAAAATGCGATGATATTAACAGAATCAGGCAGACCCTTTAAGTATTTCATCCATTTTATTCCTCCTCATCTCCAGGCCTGATTCCTAGGGGAAATATGGGAACCATTTTACATTTATAGGCATTTCTCTGGCTTGATATTGAATCCTGGGTGATACGATGTTAAAGGATCAAATACATCACAAATTGTCTCCTATGCCTATTTTCATATGCTTACTGTCCTTCCTTAAAATCCACCTCCTGACCTTTGCTGCGCTCCCTTTGCAGGGTCCCTTGGGACAGCTGGTCGGGTGTGCAACCAAACCTCGCGTGGCATGGACAGCTGTGAAGTGATGTGCTGCGGGAGAGGCTACGACACCTCCCGCGTCAGCAGGATGACAAAATGCGAGTGCAAATTCCACTGGTGTTGTGCTGTGCGCTGCCAGGACTGCCTGGAGGTGGTGGACATTCACACCTGCAAAGCGCCAAAGAGCGCTGGCTGGATTTCCCGGACATGACGCACAGGCTACTGATGGCTGAGGACCACAGCCTTTGCCCTTCCTGGCCCACGCAGGGAATGCATCAGAGGTCGTTTTTACTTTTATGCCTGTTTTGCCTTTGTTGTTCATTGCACAGAAGCTGCTGAAAAATTGATATAAACCCTGCAGCATTTACTTCACATTTCTGCATGACAGTGTTGCTGCAGAGTTGTCTCCGCATGAACTGATGCAGCTCTGGAAGGATGTACTTATGCCAGGACTGTTCCAACTACTGTGTAACTCTCCTCCAGAATCCGAGTGGCAATTCATTCCTGCCATCAGGAACACAAGAAGATAGAAAATACGGCACTTTTACAAGATCACCGCCACCAGCTGCATGGACTGGGCTTGCTCAAGCATCTTCTGAACGATTTTGGGCAGGTCACAGTTGAGTCCTGGATACCAAATGGCTCAGGACTTTGAGCACTGGTTGGTGATTTCCCCATGAAAGAAAATTTGCAGCCAGATTGGTGAAAAACTTAACTGGAAGGTGTTTGTTCATCCCTAGTGGACTGGAGTTTCCAGTAAGGTGGCCACCTGAGGCCACCCTGGCCACCATTAGCCCACTGTGGCTTCCTGTGGGGCAGGAATTGGCCCATGGCCTAAAACAAAGGAAACTGCAGGAGATGTATTCAGCCACAACACTTTGATGAACTATTGGAATCAAAGAAAATGTCATAGTTATATGTTTGTGAAAACTTGCCTTAAAAGCTTTTAAAAGGTAATGAATATTAACTGCTGAGGATTTTTTGTTTCCTGACCTAAAGGATTGAAGAGAATGGTTTTTCACCCTAGTGAAATCTGGGTACAGGACACTCGACTACCTAAGGATAAGGTTTCCACTTTTTCACCTACACAATAGTGGAAAAATGTTTACGAACAGTGTTGGAGAAGGAAATGCCTTGCCTTAGTAATGACTTGGATTCTAAAGTAGTTACCAGCTTCTATGTTCTTTTAAAGTTAATAGATCTATTAAATGTGCTCAAAATTATACTTTCTACTCAGATGGCAAAATTTGAATTAGATTTTTTCTGCATATTTTCTGCAAAGCTACATGCCTATGATTTGGAGTGTATTAGCTTGCAGTGGAGGCAATTACAGGTTGTGCCAGGTCCATATGCTGGGCTGGGATCAGCACAAAACAACAAGTTGCTGTAAAGATGTGCAGGCTTATGAAGCCCAGAAATTGCAGCCTTGGTGGAAAGGAACCAGGTCAGAGAGGGACCAGCTGTCTCTCCTCAGGGCAGAGACCAGCAACATGAACCAGAAGAAAAATGGGCTCTGTACCAGTAAGTATAAGGCTCTGAAAAAGAATCCATGAAAAGTAGAGACAGGCAAGGTAATGAAAAAGTAACATAGGAAAAGGAGGTTGAATGAGTGATAGAACACACTGTAGATGAAGGTGAAATTTCCATGTGAAAACAAAATAGACTGGAAGAACCCTGCAGGTACAAGCAGTGCAAGAAAAAATAATATCCAAGTAGCTAACCAGGGCAATAAAGTGAATACTCTGTGTATGTTCTGGTTTTGGAACTTTCTTAAAAGACTATTTAAAAAGAAGGGTGTTTGGCATTAAGTGGTCTTGAGGGAGCAGTCATTTACATCTGCAAGGCTTTAAAAAAAAAGTTTATATAATTAAAATGGGCAATTCATCTCCAGAAGGCACAGCTGGTGTTAAAAGATTAGGAGGCTCCAGAAAGTTCTTTTTTGGACAATGAGATAATGTTTCAGTTAGTGTATATGGAAATGATCATGGCTAGAGGTAACAATCATCACACTTCTGTCTAAAAACCAACTGCTGTTGGGAACAGCCCTGCCCACGTGTCCCTGCACGTGCAGTGTATGTATAATGTGTATTTATGTGCCCACAGGCAGCTCAGGGCTTATACTGCTGGCCTCTTCATTGCTGCCAATTCTGGCTCTGGGCTGGATAAGGAAAAATTCATATCTAATTGTATTTAAAGGTGAGCTCCAAGGAGAATTTTTATTGGGATTTCACTGCGAAATGAAATCCACATGTAGTTTGTAGCCTCAACAATATCATACTTTAAGCCTTAAGGAATTTAAAAGCAGTATAATAATTTTTAACCTTTTAGAGCCTTTTTTTTTTTTTTAAAAGATTCAGGGAGCCTGAGTGGTCTAAAAGAACCTATTTAATAAAACTGAAAATATTTTAATGTTCTGGAAAAAAGAAAAAAGGCTCATTCTTACAAGAGAACTTGTTCTAGGTAGTTGAATGAAGGGTAATGAAATCAGATCTCTTCTCAAATATTCCAGAAAAATCAACTCATCTGAATTCTGCAGTCCCAGATAAAGTGTTTTCGAGTCACTGTATTAAAGGTGTATTAACTTTTATTCCCAAACCTGGTCCTCTTCCGCTAAGGCACATTTTCCTGTTCCAAACCTTCCTCTGGATCAGAGACCTGTGGTTCCTGAAGGCTGGTCTTACCAGTAGGACCAGGACAATGGGGGCATTGAGTCCCTTGGCCTTTTCGGTGTCTTTTGTCACTCTGTCCAGCAGCAAGCCCACTCAGGTGTGCACAGCAGGCTGATGTTCCCATTTGGGGCATGTGATAAACCGTGATGCAATGCCTGCATCAAAACTGCTTCACCAGAGGAAACCCACAATACTTCACAGCATAACAAATGGGTAAATGCTAAGCTGGTCACTTACTTGATGACAGTTTTTTCTGGATTTATGCTTTTTGGGGTTTTTAAGAGCTCAAGGTAGACTTCTTACAGTTGTAGGCATTTCTGCTGCCTCTTCCACAAAGAAATGCACTCCCAGAAACTTCTTCTGTTTCTTATTGGCAAAAGACACTCAAAGATTTAAATATTGCTAGAAAGGCCCCTCCATGATCTTAAGCAAATCCAACAAAGAATATAAGAGGGGAAATAAAAGAGGAAATAAAAAAAGAAGAAACAGAAATAGGCATGGCAAATGAAATAATACTGTAGTTTTGTTCTATGGAATAAATTTATTCATGTATTTAGTCATGAAGAGGAAACAGCTGTCTCTGGGTAGACATTTTAGTGTCAGAGTAATGTTAGCTGAAGCTAAAGGTTGTAGGATTATTTTTTTAAATACTCAGTCCAATTTTCTCGAGGGAGTTCCCTTTAATTTGCTGCATGAACTCAGGATCTAGCAGCGCCCTGAAAAGCCGTTAGCCTGCCAAGCATTTTGGGATTGCTCCCTCCCCACTATTTTCAGCAAACTTTACCCTAAAAAGTGTGTTTGGCTGTCATAGGTGAAATCTTGTAAAAAAAAAAGTTTAATTTTCTTTTACTACATGGAAAATGAGGAATGACTTAGCAATGGTGGTGTATATTAGGGCATGTGGGCATTGAAGGTTGAGAGATTGCTGCTTTTTCTTTTCCTGGAAAAATAACAGAAAGTATCTCATCCTGGCCTCCCATCCCCGTGTGTATTTGTTTGCAGATGTGAATTAGAAGTAAAAGGCTGCATTTCTGGTCCTGTGCTGCACAGCTGCTGAAGGGCATCCAGCTGCGTGCCCACACCACAGCTGTTGGTTGCTGCCTGCGGGCTTCATGTCCAGCTTGTTCAGTGTATGGTGGCAAGGGGAAGAGGAATGTTCGAGGATTAGTGAAGATCTGGATCTGGGGAGGGTGCTTTTGCTAAGAAAAACTAGCTCTTACTCCACTGTGGCAGCACAAATGTACCGATACTCACTCTTCACCATGGTGTTTGTCCTGCACTCTTGGGAAGGGCTTTATGCAGGTGGTGGCTGCATCCAAGGGCAGAAGTGGTTTTGTGGTCACATGTCTCAGCCTGCAGGTTTTACCTGCCACTTCAAATGATAGAAATTTCTGATATTATTATCAGAAAGACAGAGGCAGCTCATGGGCTGTAACCACAAACGTGATTTTGGGTTGTTTCTTTTGTGTAACAGCTCATTTGCCTGGGGAAATGGATGCAACTTCATAAAGTTAAGATCTCTTGTGAGAAACGAGCAAATGCATATGAATCAATACATTGACAGCTCCCTCTGTGGTGGGAGCTGGGCAGGAGCCCTGCTGGAGGCTGGGTGGAGCTAGGGCTACATTTTACAATCTGCTGTAACTACAGCCACTGAGGTTTTCAGGGCCACCACAGGGTGACAGCCAAGGGGTGTGTGTGGCGTGTGCAAGAGGTGCAGCTTCCTTTGGATGCTTAGCTTCTGCAGGTTTCTTCAACGTGGCAAAACTCCTGATAACCTTCCTCCTTTCTGCTAGGGTAAGGACATGGTCTGGAAAACAGTCTGTATGTTGAGCATACTCACCAAATGATGAGAGGGAAAGCTGCAGCTCTCCCCTTGGTGTAGCACTCTGAGTGCAGTTCCTGCCAGGGAGCAGCTGTAAATCTATCCAGTGGGAGGAAGGGACAGAAGGGGACCAGATTGACTTGGCACTCCCAGGGAGGTCCTCTCCTTTTTTGTTCTATGCAGGTTATAGTGTAAAGAGATAATGTGCATACAAATTCTATTAAGTTGTCTTTAAAGAAAAAAAATCAGGAACTGCTAACATTTGAAGTTAAAAAGCTTTCTCCACCCCTAAATTTGAAGATGAGTTATTATCTGAACCAGATTTCCACAAGGCTCATCTCTGCACTAAGCCAGAGGCTTTCCATCATTATAATCATGGGCTGTGTTTACTTTATCATCTAAGCCATACTGAACTTCACAGGAAACATGTCAGAGGCAGCAAAGCCCAAGGCAATAAACTCTGCCCAATGAAAAAGAAAATCCTTTTGTCTGTTTTGCCTAGTCTTCCAGATGCCTAGAATTATAATTAAAGAGAGATTTTTCTAGATAAAAAATCCATGGCACATTACTGTTTATTAGGGAGATAGATACTAGAAATAGTAGAAATAAAATTGCATAAAGATATTTTTGAATTCTTAAATATTCCCCATAGTTCAAGGAAAGGATGTGATTCTTCCAGGAGTTAAGCATTCTTATTTATCAGACTATTACAGATAGTAATTCCTACACAGATAATAGTAGCTTTGAACAGAAGGCCAAACTACTACCAGGTCTCACTCTTACAGCTGATTTCTTCTAGAATGGGGCTGCCTTTTTTAAATCTCATAGCACAGCAGTATTTACATGGTACTTGTGCTCACTTGAACAAACATCTGTCTTCTACTAGACTAATGTGTCTGCCATCAAGGGAACAAAAAATAACATAATGCATCTTCTGTTGTTGAGAAACACTTTCCTTTTATACCAGTTCTAGTACTGGGAGTTTTGTCTCTGCTCACTCATTTCCTCATTGATTAACTAACCTATCTGCTAGGGACCACAGTCCCTTAAACTGCTCAGCATTTTTAGAGCAACAGCAAAGTTGAAATGGTAAAGTGGCATTTTTGATCCTCTGCATCAGGGTTATGCTTCCTTATCTGGAAGATCAGCTGGAAAACAAATTCTTGAGGCATCTGTAAGGATGCACTTTTAATTCCTGACAGAGGACTGTTTGCTTCAATTTCCAGATCAAAATCTGCATTTTAGATCTGGCCTCGGAAGTTTCCATGGACAGTGGCTATGTCATAAATGAATACTTAGTCTAAACAGTCACGGCACAAAGATAAGATTTCCTGAGGTGAGCACTAATAGTGAAACACCAGCCTCTCTATTAATTGTGCATGAACACTCATTTTGCTAATGAGCCTTCAGAAGGTACCTGAAACACTGGGGTGTGAAGAAAATCTGTCAAGTACGTGGGCTTGAAAATTCAAACGAGGATACAGTGACCTCTGTGCAGCGAAGGGAATCGGAAGCCCAGTGTGCCATCCAAACTGCCTGGAGAGCCTAAAGCTGCTTTAAGCAGGAGCTTTAACTGTCTAGAAGCCTCCTCTAGACTGCAGAAGTGAGGGCCTCACCCTAACTGAACTCCAAAAGAAAAGGCAGTGACAGTGTTGCTTAATTATAACATTATTAGTATGTTTCATTACCTGAATGTATAGCTACACCCTAGATACCGTGAAACAGATGCCACATGTTTAAAAAACAAAATGTAGAATCTGTGTTCTGAAAAAGTCAAAAGACAGCAATGCTACAATACACAAAAGTTTATTTTTTTCTTTTCTGAAGGCAAAATATAATAGAACCTAACATCAATGTATTTTGTACAACAAAACAGTTTTTATATGAGAACAGACAATCCATGAAGAATTTTTAAGTCTTAGAACTGCTTCCCTTTTTATCATGCTTTCTTGTGGTCAACAAAAAGTTGGCACAGAAGATGTCATGGCAGTCAGTCAGCGGGCATGCTCCCTCAGATCCTTGTCAGCTGGTGCCACAGGCTGGAGGGCAGGATACTTTCTACTTTTTCCATCACAAAATTTAAAGGGGCAAAGAGGGTGCTGAGAAACTGCAAAGAAATCAGATACACATTCAGAACAAAATCCAGGAGACAATACATCTCAAGAGAAAGCTGTTCAATAAGATAAGATATTCTTGCTGTGTTCCTTGGTAGAGTCCTCCAGCATGATAAAAATGACATAATTCACACATAAAGACTTTTAAATTCTCGAGCCTTGCATATACAGAGATTTCTGGATTTTGCAGCAAAGAAAGCAAGAGCCTCATTTTTACAAAGATCAAAGTGATGAACTGTGAAAGCTTTCACACATCTCACATCCTAGATTGGAGCTCATACTGAAGCCACCAAAAGGTCAACCCAAAACCCACTGAAGAGAGGCTTTTTCATAACAGGGATCTGCCAGACCACCTCACAGAGACAAAAAGCTTGCCTTGAGGTTCAGGTTTAAAATGGTTCAGGGTTATCTACAGATCTGAGGCATCACTAACTGTAATTTATCCTAACACACTCTGCATCACTGACAAAAATTTATCTTAACATCCTCTCTCTATTACAGAACACAACATTCAAAGAGACTTCAATATATTAGTGTTCAGACAGGCATATGAAAAAATATCAAGATGGAGAACATTTTATCTCAGGAAAAAAATATTGGCAGCTACATAGGCAGAATTCAGGTATTCAAAACAGACGTGAAATATATATTGAAATACATATTAATTTTAATTAATTATTAATACATTTGAGAAATACATATTAACTGTGATTTACATTGCCTGCAGTTCAACTCTAAACATTACATACACCTATGCTGGGGCCCTATATGTGTACAAGAGGGCACATCATTTATGATGCTTATGCATTTTAAAGGCAATAGTAAGCACTCTAATTCTTTTTTTTCCTCTTTGATGTGTTTGCCTACACTGCAGACACTACATCCTGGACAACTTGTGCATCATGGGAAAACCAGGTAACACCACCACTGGTAATGTCATTTTGTCGTAAGCACAGGTCAAAAAAACCTAACTGAAGCAGAACAGGTATTTCAGTTCTGGTGCTAAAGGTCAAGCTGTATGGCATGAGCCACAGCTGAATCAATGAAACACTGACTTACCCGGTCCTAGAGACTGCTCTTTCTGTTGCAAGTGGTTTAGCCCAAGGACAAACATTCCCTCTGGTTTTAAGTACTGCAAATTACATACTTGTAAAATCAGTGAAATAAGAATAATTTGCCTGACAGTGACTTTTATTGCAATTTATAGGAATTCTTTTGTTCAAGTAGTTGATTGTATTCTATAAAAAAGTCAGCAAATTATCAGCAGCTTAAAACAAGCCAAGTTTTTCTCCACCGGGAAAATCAATTGTCTACAAAATACATTTAAATTCATGGATACCAAAACTTAACTTCCAGAAAGTCCAAGCAAAATCTTTGCAGACAAGAAGCTGAGGATGCCACCTACTCTCTTGTGCAAGGTGATGTAACAGTACCTGTGCTGGCCCTTGGAATGCTCCTGGTGCTCCTTTCCCCAGGAGCAGATGCCTATCCAGCTTGCTGGCAGCACCCAAGATACACACTGAGGTTTCTTCTTAGGGTTTGGTTCTGGGATTTTTTTAACTGCTTTGCATTTCCTTTTGACTCTGTCTTTTTGCACAGAGATCAAAAAAAGCAGCACCAGCAGAGTAAGAATTCAGGGTGGCAGAAGGGGTGGTCAGAGACCTGGTTTCTATTATTTTGTGTTTGAAAAGAAAACCATCAACCTGGCTACTTCAAAGCTGCTTTCTGGTAGCACCTTCTGAATAGCACCATTGGATTCAAATATGCATGTAATCTCTTTTCAAGCTTTTCCACAGTGTGATTGGTGTTTTCATGGAGAAACTGACTATTCAGTGCTCAGTCCCAGTGATCAGATCCATGTGTTCCCTACCTCAGCATCTCTAGAGGTTCAAGCAGATGAAATGCCTCCCAGGGCAAACCCACCTGCTGAACTGCGGTCTCATCCATCACACAGGAAATATTGAGACACATCATGTGAGTGATCTCAGGCAAACAAAGAAATGAAATCAAAAAACTTAGTCTTTCTGAAGTTTGCCTTATTTTAAAAATTTAACTAGACAGTACACTTTTAGCTACATCTGTTGACTTGAATTATATAGTGACCTCTGTGTTAATAGATATACTGTTATTGTTACAAAAGACTCTGCACTTACATATTTTTATTGATTTCCCAGGTATTAGTAAATTTCTGCATGTTAAAGAAATTTGATACTAGTAACTGTGGCCTGGCAATTTCATCCAAGCCATGCAATCAGAATTTTGCCTATATTTATTTCTTAATTGACTTCCATAAGCCTTTTGTTAGAAAGATCAGCAAAAACTAAAAGCACAAGCTATGAAAATGTTTTTTCCGAGCCAAGAGAAAATACTAAAAAATCTGCTGTTAATTTAAGGTTACTTAGTCTGACAAAATATTATGGTAGAACTGGATTTGATGGAAGAGTCAAACTTATTTCCAGGTACAACATAATGTGCATACTTGCACAGTTTCACAATGTAATATAGCACCATCACAATGACTACCAAGCAGACAGGAATATGTAATTCCATGAACATAGCCACAGAAACAGCACATTCATATTTGAGCTATTTAGGGAATTAGTTACTTATGAAATGATCTTCCCTAATCTGAAAGGGAAGAATCAGGGCTGGCCTAACCTTTTCTATTCTGATACAGCTGCATTTCAAAGAGATGTCTGCCACGATTTTCTTCAGTCTCATGCACCTGGGACACTTTTCCCAGAGCAGACAACAAAAATGAGCCTTCTGAATCGAAGCCTTTCTATGAGCTACTAAATAAATGTCCCAGGCTCTTAAATTCTGTCCTTCCCATGGAAAAACCTCAGTTGCTGCATGGTTTATGAAGATCAAGATACAGCTGAACCAAGCCATAATACATGTTAACTGACACAATAGCTTCATCATACAAGTTTGAAGTAATTTTGCCAGCTTTATGCACATAATGTAGCTCACTTTTAGTTCTTTGGGCTTACTAACTATAAGCTTTACTCGTTCCCATTCAGAGCCTTGGGGTATCTATCTTAATATTAACACCAATGGCAGCTGCACTTACACATCAGGGGAATAGATCCTTCTGGTCTGATTCTATTCACCAATTAGCTTTAGAACCTGCAAGCTCCAAACCATGGAGAAACAATTACCAACATGCCACCGGTTCCATTATCTCTCTGAAATCAAGTCAGCCATTAGAGCCAGGTAATTTAAAAATTAAATTTTAAATTTAATTTAATTTAATTAAATGAAAAGAGTCTCCAATTTTCTCCAATGCCAGTAGCTCACTGCCTGTGGCAGCAGAACTAGGTAAAAAATCTCCTTGTGCTGCCAGCATATAGTCTTTGTTCAGGATACAAGGCTGTACAGGAACAAGGCAAAAAGGGACAGATTTGGGATCTGCAACTGTGACAGTATCAGAAAACTAAAGATTTGATTGAAAGAGCTAAACAAGGGTCATACATTTCAGGAACTTCAGTAACTACAGAACAGAAAAAACCCAACCACCAAATACAAGAAAAGCTTTACAGAGAAGTTTGTGATCATATGCCCAAGTTAAATACTTACTGTCTACCTAACACCTATGTACAGACTCAAGAAACAAGAATGAGTAATATTTCAGCACTTTTTGTTGAGAGAAGAAGTATCTTCTGCTACAACTGATATTATTTTCTGTCTTCTAGAGATAATGAAAGAAAATTCTTGTTGCATGAACCATTGCTGTACCAAGCCTCCATCACTCACAGGCCTGGATTAACAGAACACCCGGCTCCCCTGCAAAGGGAGTCTCTTGCCCTTTGCAGAAGGGTTTGAAAGAGTACTGACAATCTGGAATTTGCCAAAACCTTTCAGCCTGGTCTCCTACACCCCCAAATCAAAAGTACCAAAGACATTAAAAACAAAGCCAGGAGGCCAGTTTGGAAACATGAGACTTAGAACAGAGAGGAATATATTTGAGAAAATATATTACAAAGGAAGATATTCAGTATTTACTGGAAAATGAATTCTTTACTATCCTAGAGCTTTTCTGTTAGTGGATTTTTCATCTCCTAGCATGCTGGAGCAGTGATGTTCTTGGTTTCGCAAAGAAAGAAGTTTAGTTTAGGATAATTCATGGCTTTTCCCCCCTCATCCTCCAAAATTTATTAATCCTTGGTGGATTAAAAAAGCACAATTAGGAGAGACTTGTCTGAATCTGGTTCAGAAAAGTTATGAGGGAAATACTGAGACTACTTCCTCCTTGGCAGTTCAGGGGAAAAGCACAGAAATTTGTCCTGGTTAACAGTACACTCTATTTCTGCCCATACTAAGAGTTTCTATTGCACTGGACATCACAGCAGCCATTATGACTCTACACAAAATAGAGGGATTCTGCAAGCTGTTACTAGTTTATTTAGGGGATGATATATGAAAATACACTTCTCCCACTAAGCCTGTTTTCTGGCAGAATCACAAGACATCAAACCTACCAAGAGAGCCATATAAACCAGAAAATACAAATAGCTGTGTCTTACTGATTAGCAGCCTTGACAGCTGTGTGAGTCTCCCTGCTCAGATATGGACTGATATTTCTGAAAATGCAGATATTTAATACCTGGCAGTATTTAGCTCAGCTTTTCCTCACTGGTGTCTTTATTTACCAGAAGGGAGCAGCAGCAGAGAATACTCACAGCTTTTGCGAAGACCCCCATAAGCTCTGGGAACTGATGTGTCAGGAGGGCGAGCATGGCTGTGAAAGAACAGAGTCCAGCAGTGAAGAGGATGAAGAAGGGAAGCTCTTTCTTGGGATAAACTGAAACCTCATGAAATGCTGCAGAAAAAGATATAAGAAGGGGAAGGCATTATACATTGAAAAAAAAATCAAATCACAACACCAACCAAAACAAACCAGTGTTCTTACATAGTTTAAACTACCAGAGACACACAAAGAGGCTTTTGAAGGAAGAAGAGGATGGAAGGTCTGATGCATCTAAGGATATTATTGTTGTGTCATTTGTCTCTGCCAAGTAATTCTCTCTAAAGATCTGGTTTACTGGTTTACTCTGGCGCTATGTACATGTTACTTGGTCTTCCTTGTGTCAGCAGCTCTGCAACAGCTAATCCCAGAAAACAGACTTAGAAATAGAACACCAATTATTTTAATGTACATCATTAACTAATCCCATGGCTGCATGTTTGCTAATGCTGATACACGGAGAGTGCAGCAACATGTGCCCAGGAGCAGCAGTGAGCCCAACCATATGGAAGCATTGCTGCAGAGCAGCTAAAGCAGGCTGTAAAACTACAGTCTTTGTAACTGTAAATTCTGAGTGTTTTATCTGCAGAGCAAGAAAAAATATCCTAAAAGCAGGACTTACATGCATGTATTTTAAAACTTGGAAATTAAATAAACAGTGAATTTTTAAGATGTTTGTTAATATACACTGATAGGAATACAGAAATTCCCTTGACTCTGGTATGAAAAATCCTTCACTGGACTTTGGGAAAAGCAGCACTGAGATGACTAAAAGGGTTAGAAGAGGATAATGAATATTTTACCAGAAGGATATATCCCTTAAACTTTTATGGCAGCTCAGATTCAAGGTGAAAATTCCTCTGGGTTGGCAAAAGGTTGGATGGACTCTTACCTGTCTGTTTCACTCCTTCAGTCTATAGTTTAGAGCTATGGTCAAGATAAATGCAAACTTGGAAACATTTTTTTTCTCATATAGGACCAATCACAAGGCTTTCCATATACTCAAATTCTATGGCTATTCATATATATGAAGCATTACTCTTCCATTTTGCCTACTTTCTTTGCTTTAGTGATCAGCTCCAATCTCTGTACTTGCAAACAACATAAACACAGGGTAGCATGGCAGGATAACATTCATGACTGCATTTATCCAGAGTGGAGTGGTTCTCAAAACCAAAACCAGGAATTAATGAGTTTAAATTGGAATATTAAAAACTAAAAATATGTATGACTCTTAAGTCTGCTGGTTTGACCAGTCAAAAAAAGAAGTAGGGATAGATTTTGTCCTCTTTGACTTAAAATAGAGATAAGAAATACCAGAATGTGGACTTTGTAAGTCTAGGATCTCTTGTGCTTTTCTTGCACTGCCTTTTCACACAGACTCAACTCTGCTGTTCCAGTCTGTTATCCAGTCAGGGCAAAAGTTTTGTAATTGACATTTTTAATTTAGAAGGCCTGTCCAATTGTTGTGTTCTGATATAATTCCAGTTGACTCTCCCATAAAACATACACAATTAAAGGGTGTGGACAAGTATGCAACACCCCTCTAACCCACCTGTGTCTGTCATGGTATGCTAAACCCTTCCCTCCTCTAACCCAGGAGATTTTGCAGTGAAAGGCATTTCCCATAACTGCCTGAGCAGAACACACTGCCTGCACACCCCGTTAAAGAGTCTCACTGTTAGCTTGTAACATTTGACAAGAATGATTAGTTTTGCATCTAAAAAGAGAATGCTGAGCTATTCTGCATGACTTTGTCATTCCTAAATCTCCTGACACTTCACCCTCCCCAGCTCAGCATCCCTCTGAGTAAAGCAAGCAGAGCACTGTGAGAGGTGTTGTTATAATTAGGATGATTATAATGGGGTGGGGAGATACTGACAGTTGCCAAGGATTTCTGCGTAATACAAGCAAGAATGTGCTGTAAAGGAGAGACTTGCAATGAGTGGATTTTCACTGTATTATTCTCACCTAATGTTTACTCATGTAGGCTTATAAAAAGAGGCAACACCTTTTTCAGCCCCAAACAGGGAGGTTCCGAATGAAAGACTACAAAGGGTTCAGATGCCCTCAAAAATAGCCTTCCCAGCAGAAGCAGGCTTCATTTTTACCGTTCAGAACAAATTTTTCTTTATTCCTTCTGAATAAAGGAGAAAAAAGGTGAGAGAAGAATCTTCTTCCTTGGATCAACTTTAATTTGCCTCCTCTGCCCTGACCCTGCAAACTTGTGTGTGTTCCACTTGTGCTCACACAAAGTCCCACAGAGAGAACACATGTGGGAATGATGTGTAACTGCAAGACTGGCTGCTTTGGCTCTTCCTCTGCATTCTTGTGCTTCACTGAATGCACTGTAATGAGTCTCATTAACCTGCACTGTAACACTTCTTGAGGGCTGGATCTTTCCTTATATCCATATCTGGGAACACTGCTGGCACTTCCCTAACACACACCATCAACCCACATAAAATTGACAGAGATGACTTCACCTCAATCTCTTCATAACAGTACACATGCCATAACATGAAGAAAACCCCTTCTTGCTATTTAAGACTGCTTCTTGGAAAACGTGACATACATAGCCTGTCATGAGTACTAGCTGCAGTAATGATCCAGCTGTCCTCAAACAAGTTGGATCCTGCCTCAGAATTTAAGCAGCCAGTGTGCATACCAAAGATTAACAAGGCCTTGACACTGTACTTTTGGTTTGATGGGATGTTAACCTAGATGAAAGATTAGTGTCTTGGCAAGAGAGAATAGCAAGAACTAACTGATTTGGATTTCCTTGGTAATCTCTCTCCCTATCTGTAAGCTGTCAAAAATAATAAATACAGTGAATTGTTATGACCTATGCTGAGAAGCTGCCTCTGGAACCATCACAGGAACTCCAAGGCTCACTGTCAATCTGGTTATTCTAATCCAGTGTACTCAATCTAAAAGGCATCAAAGGAGACCAGTGCCGCAAGACTCGGGTAAACAATTCTTGAGTGTCAATCATAAGAAGAAAAAGTTGAACATACACGGTAGTAGTTCTCTATCTGCAGTTTCTGTACAAATAGGGTAAGGATAGAAAAGATGTCCTTTTTCCAGTGGATAGGGGATCATTCTGAAAGCTGAAAAGAAAACATGGTGCATAAGTCACTGTGAGTGTGGAAGTCACACGAATACTTGCAATTCTGAAAAACAAACATAGACAAAACATTTATACTTGGTTGTAAACAACATATAAATTGCTTAATGAAGTGCCAAAATAGAAATCTACACTGAGCTTTTAATCACAAAACTCCTATGTTTATTTTTACTCTTGAGACAATGTTCATGAATGTCAGTTGACATCACATTACAAGGGCATACAGAAATGTTTGCATAATCAAAGCCCATTACACTTCCAATTCCATAGGCAAATTTACACATTTTGTCTTAGGGTTTTAGGCTGCAGAATTTTTAAATTTCAGGGGAAGGAAGTGCATCTGATATAACAGGTATAGCCTACAAAAAATTACCAACCAAGTCTGTAGAGTCAGACCAATACAGTCTCTGTTCATCAAAAATAATACAAGTTTTTCATGGTAAAAATACACTACTCTTTTTCCATCACACTCTAGCAAGCCAGGTAACACTGATGACACGAGCTCTGAGGACCAGTTTTCCAACACAGTCATGTTTTCATTTTCTATTTGGCAATCAAAGATTAATACTAAATTATTAAACCCATGTCCCTCTCATGCATTCTTTCTAAATTCAGCAGATCAAGTCAGGTTTCCAATATAAATCTTCAGGTCATGGATTAAATAATACTTAATCTTACGAATTTTTAAAATTGAAAATAATAACAGAGAGGGAGGGAAATGGATTACTAAAACTTGATGGTGCTGATGTCATAGGCCATCTGAGTGTGGTTTATGGAAACATCAGAATACTTGACTGAAATACAGCTTTGCAATCAAGGCATCCTTTTCCATTATCCTATATATTATTTTCACTGTTAAAATGTCATCAATGTGTTATTCTCACTACTCCTATGAACATCAGTCACTGAAGCAATATTTTCCCCAACAGATGTCCTAGAAGCACTGTACACTTGAGTTGTTAGGTACAGCCCACTGCCACACAATAACACTCCATTATCTCTCGCTCACAAGGCAACTTAAGAATTTGTTTAAATACACAGTCCCCCAATATTTTCAGCTGTGCACACTGCATTTCAAATTATGTTAACTGTATTTTTTTGTGAAATTATATTGTTGTATCTTTTCTTGATTGCTGCTTTTAAAGCAATAGTAAAGAAGGCAGAGATCTTGAAAGATTCTAAACTAACCTGGGCTGTAATGCTCTTCCAGCATTAACTATCCCTCTCCATAGCAACCCAAAAAGCCAAGTACAAATACAATAATCCAAGCTGTGTATGATCTTAACACGCAACAAATTGAGTGTCTGTACAAAAACATATGTTGCATGATGTTCAGTGCTCATTTCTTCAAAATCCCTAACACAAGTTTTACCTTCCAATTTGACTTAATATTGAAACAGACAACCAAGCCTCTTCTGCCTTACCCTAAGCCACAGTAATATTAAGATTTTAATCAAAATAAAAAAGGGAGGTAAAGATGTTGTTTTTACAAAACACATGAAGAATGTCTGGATAGATTTTACTCAGTTTAAGCAGTCATGGTTAACATGAGATCATGGGATATTTACAGCAAAACAGCTTTATTTAGCAACGTTATCAGCCATGGAAGGAAGTGCTGTGGTTCATCTGGATCAATTTGTGTCTATGTAGTTACTTCTCTGCCTTACTCCCTACAGTATTATCTGATCCTATTTTACATGAATTGACTCAGCACAGAGGCAGTTTGCCACTCACCCACGTACTTGCTGCAAGAGCTACTGGAGCATTTGGGAACCCCTAGGTTTCTCTTCATGCCAACAATAGGAATTTTGACACAAGTTTAGAAACCAATCGTGACAAACCATCACCCCAGACACTTCTGAAACCTGGTTACACTTGAAACTACAGACTTCCTGTACAGAGAACCTGGCCCAAATGCAGTGGTGGCACTTGGACTTTTATAGTTTTACTATGAATAAAATACCTACAAACACGTAGAAAGAAAGAGGGCAATTGACCATGTATTATATGTAGACGGTTAAAACTAATATTTAACTACATTTAACTTCCCTGGCATCTCTTCACTGGTTTTCACTTAGTTATGCAGAGATGCCAAGATATAGACCAAACATTATGATTATTGCACTAGACACTGTGAAACCATTAGAACCCTTGTTTGTCTTCATGTCTGAGCAAAATTTGAACAAAAATTTTGAGGACTTGTGCACTGTTTGTATTTTTCTGAAATCACTGTACAAAATGAATTATGGATTTTTCTGCAGAAGTTATGCAATGATATTAATTTACATCTTTACAGGCTATTATACAGCTATTAGCTAATAAATTACGTGTTCAGATTGCTGAATGTGGCGATAATAAGAAGGGGAATGTAGCTAGATGAGAATTCCCTATGTTGCCATCAGGCACAGATGACTCGCGGGAGGACTGCAGACTCCTGTGCCAAAACCTGGTCCTGGTACAAAGCTCTTTAGGGGCTCCCCAGCCTGACAAAGCAAATGAAGATCTGTTCAGGATTCCCTGCAAAATACTGCTTTCCTGATGGAATAATGAACCCTGAGCTAAAGGACTTCTGCAATAATCCAGAAGAGAAGGAACACTGCGTAAAAAGCAAATCACTGAAAATAAGCCATTGGGAATGAACCTATGACAGAGAAAATAATAGACTGGGAGAAATAATGGGAGAAGAGCTAGCAGATGTGACAGAGAACAATGCAGCACAGCAAACTCCAGGCAGCACTGGTATGGATTACTGAGCAAGGTGTTCTCTACACCTAGAAATAAAACCAGTGCATCCTCAGGGAGCCTACATTGCAAATTAGGCAAGTTCAGGTCATTCCATACTGTAATTGAGACAGTAAATCACTTTTACACTGGAGGTATTAAGTGCATTTCTACAGGGATTATAATAGTAACAAACTATCTTTTCTATCAAAGCTAAATGAAGACAAAAAATGATGAAACACACACAATAAAAAACTGGTATAATAACATATAGAGAGGATGAAAAAGAACAGAATAAAGCAGAGCCGAAACAGGGAACTAGATTACAAAAAGGAAAAACTGCATCAGAAAATAGGCCAACAAAGGCTGATTTTAAATTGTACTTTTAAATTCTCTGAAACTTGGTAGAAAAACACATCACAAAGACAAGATAAGATATATTAGAAGATTTGGAAGTCATATACTCCAACCTCCCACTCAAAGCAGGGTCATTTCCAAGTTAGGTTGGATTGCCCAGAACTATGTCAAGCTGAGCTCTGAATATCTCTGGGGTGGGAGACCCCACAGATCCCTCTCACTATGAAAATATGTTTCTTAGGTCTGGATTAAATTTATCTGGTTTGAACTCGTGTGTATTGCTTCTTGTCTTTATTCTGGGCCATTCTGTGAAGACTGTGACTCTGTCTTCCATATCATCTCTCTACTGGGTGGTGGAAGACAGTAATTGGATCATCTCTTTGTAACTTTTCTCTAAAAAATCCTTTTTCTGTTTCTCTGTTTCTGTTGCATCTCTTCCGTATTTTTCTTTTTATTCTTGGATTTTTCAGCCTCCTTTGGACTGAATTCTTTTGGGATCCTCCCTTGTGGGGAGCCCTGCTTATCTCAGTTCTTATGATTCGAAGAAAACTCCTGACCTCGTTAGAATCTTGTTTCTTGTGTTTATTAAGAGGTGATCGCAAAACTTAACAGGTCTCTCCAGGCTGGCTACACAAGGTTAATCTTTGCAATCTGATACATTTCTTTCTTCTGATGGTACAAACAAAGCCTTGTGGCACACTTCGTGTCTGTGCACAAAATGGCCCTGAAATACGCAGTTCTTTTATCTTAATACCTATTTTTACCCAATTAACAATAAACACGTATATTATTTTTCTTAATGACCCAATGACCCATCACCTGTGTGCTGCACTGTGGCATTCTCTGTCCAATCACTTACTATTACCCAAAAACCTCTAGGAGAACATGAAGAAGAAAGAAGAAGGGACAAGATACAACACCCTAAATCCTCCATCTTGTCTCCTGTTCTCTAACTTTTTCACCCAGTGGTTTAAAAAAGCTTTCTAATCTACACACTTACACTTTTAGCTTTTTCCATCTAACTTTAACATTTGTTTTCATGTATCACCATGAAAACATGCTCATGAATTTCATATTATATGAAATTCAGTGTTTTCCTGGATCTTATAACTAAGTATCAGAAACAAGGGCACACACTCTGTATTCCAGACTCCAACACTCTTCACCCACCATAAGGGTGAACCATAACCAAGTTGAACAAAACCAGCTTCCTCAACATTTTGTCCATATTCCTTTGTCCAGAGATTCCAGTTCCCTATGCATCCCAGTAACCCTTCATTGAATTCACTCCAGTTTGTCAGTTGAAAAAAAACCATAATAAAATACAGTATTGCTTTATACTACACATTAATATATACCTGTCTATGAGGCACACTCATCATTTCCAAATATCAAAGCATTCACAGAATCACAAAGTGGTGTGGGTTGGAAGTGACCTTTAAGATAATCTAGTTCCAACTCCACTGCCATGAACAGGGACACCTTTCACGAGACCAAGCTGCTTGAAGCCCCACCCAGCCTGGTCATGAACACTTGGAGGGGTGGCACATCCACAGCTTCGCTGGGCAACCTGTTCCAGTGCCTCACCACCCCTATTTTTTGTTTATGTCCAATCTGAATATACTTTCACTTTGAAACTAATCTCTACAACCCTGGAATGAAATAAGTTAATAATTTATGTCCTTATCCATGAACAAGAAAATACGTCTCAAAGAAGTTGGGAAATTTTGTTCAGTATTACACAGCAAACACAATACTCATTATTTTACTCATTAAATGGTTTGTGTTTTCAGTTCACATTTTAAATATTTCAATTGACAAAAACTATTATTTTTTTCATGACATTAAATAAAAACATTTGATTAGCTCCTTTGTAAGAAAGAGGATTACTTACTGCCTTCCCATGTACAGTGTAAGAGGTTCAATGCCCCCTCTACTCTTTTCCAGTGTTGAAGATGAAAGAAAGCATATGCTATTGCTTCACTGTCCCCTCTCTTCAGAATATGTTCAGGGGGCAGAATTAGGCTTTTCATTTCTAGTAGGTACTGAAAGAAAAAAGCAGAGCACAATTATTGCAGAGGTAATACAAAACATAGAAAGCTGACTGGAATTCTGTAATGCACACTGGAAGGTCTATTTCCCTAAAGTACTTTTTCTCATAAGGTTTCATCAAATGTGTAACATCACCAGCTTGAAGACAGCTACTGAATTATTCCCAAACACTAAGATAAGCTGTCAGATGCTTTACAGCAGTAGTATGGGGACTACAGAGACATTCAAAACTAAACATCTCTTTTATTGAAGGAGATGAAAAAAAGGGCTCAAAGCAGAAAATGGAATTTAATTAAAAGAGCTTTTTTAATTAAAAATGTTTATAATAAAATGAAGAAGACTTTAAGCTTTTCTATAAGGAAACATATAGCACTCATGGTTTGCACACGGGTTGCTGCATTTACTGCACTGCCATTAACTGGTTGTGAGATTCATGAATATGCAAGCTTGGCAGCCAACAAAGTAGCTAACAACAAGTTACAAAGTAAAAATGTTACATAATTTAACAACCGCCTCATTTCCCAGGGTGGGATGGGGGTAAAAGTAACCTTTTAAACCTTTTTTAAAAGGTGTTAACCTTTAAACTTGCTACTAGAAATAGTTGTTGAATGTATCATTAAAATGAAATTTTTCACTGACTGAACACATAAGCAATTTTCACAGAAAATTTTCCCGTAACTGGCTACCCCCACCCAGCAGAAGCAGATGAAACACACAGAGGGTTCATGACACAGGAAAAGGCAGATGATTCAAGCAGGTGATTTTTCCTCCCTCCTCAATCCATGAGCTAGACTAACATTTAACTAGACAGACAGCTAACAGCAGCTCAGCAGACATCACTGGTGTTACTGCATTCCAGCTAGTGGAGGGGGAAGAAACAGCAGAGGGTAAAGATGGCATCCTTTACAGGAGAAGGAGTACCAGACAGAAAACAAGCTGCTGAATCAGCTCCTGTCAGCTCTCCTAAGGAGTGTAACATTTCCCAGCCGTGTGCTGACTGCTCACCGCAGCCCAGGGAAACTGTCGCTCTCTTCCAGGATGCCCAAGATCAAATGTTCTCCCCACCAGACTGTTCAAGTCAACACAAAAGGCAGCAGGTGAGCCAGGCCCTAGCATGAGGCTGGGAAAGGAAAGGTATGGGTGATCACTGGCACTGAAGGAGGGAGTGCACAGCCCCTCCATTTCACCCTGTGCTACAGCCTGGTCTGGAAGGAGGCCACAGGACCTAGGGACTGACAACTTCCCAGAAGAGGCACCCGGGAGGAGAAAGGGAGGCATGGGTGGTGTCAGCCTTGCACAACCCATGATAAATGCTGACTTTTGTGAACAGGATGTGCTGATGCAGAAAAGAAAGCAAAAGAAAGGAATGAGGACTGAAAGTCAGCCTTGTGGAAAGGAAAAGGACAGAGGGAAATGAGCACCAATGATTTTGTGGAGGATGTCCTAGAGCATGTCACCCCTTTGTCTGAAGGAGTTGTCAAGCAGGTAAAAGATTTGGAGAGCTCATGATCAAAACACAGAACTATCAGTCCCGCAGAATAAATAAACACCTCAAAGAGAAATCACATTTCTGACATGGGTCACTATTAAAGGAGGAGAAACTGAATTAGCAGTGGGAGTAGTTGAGTGTGATACTTGGATTTTCTCTAAAGCCTTTCAGAAAAACCTGAGAGAGTTGCAGAGCAGGTGGATTAATGGAGGAAGTTGCAATTTAGTAGGCAAACCAGGGGATTAAGGATGATAGAACAGAAAAAAGAACTGACAAGAGGGAGGGAGCTGTCAGGCTTACATGGATACAGCAAACATTCACTGCCCTAGTGAATGCCTCACCCTTTTAAAAACACATATCTGTTTGAGCAGAATGGAATACAGCTGCAAGAGCTGCAGGTTTCTACTTGTCTTATTAATTTAGAACATTAAACTCTTATTTCCATATTTTCTGCAAAATTAAATGAGAAAATAAGTTCTCAATATTCAAATGTTCCAACCAAAGGAAAAAAAACATCAACAAACCCAATGACATGTCACTATAAGTGGGGACAGAAAAACCAGGAAGGAATGTTGTATTTCTAGGAGCATTAAAAGTAAATGTGTTATTTTGATTCTTATGTATTGCTTATTTTCAGCAATTAAAAAGAAACCAAGAGGAAATACCAGATGGAAGGATATATATATATCTTGACACTTGCAATCAAGCTTAGTCCTCACTCAGTTAAGTTGACTCTTCGGTCTGCATTTTTCTCAGTTTCAGAAAGAAATTATTTTTAGAAGTGCCTCAGATGAAAAATGTGAAACCCTCCTCCCTTGTTACTGTATCACAGCTACCTTCCCAAACAAAAATCCATAACCTGGATTGGTGATACTCAGTAAGACCCACACACAAAGTTGATAGGTGGCTCAAGACTCATTTGTGACTCATAGATGTTTTTATTTTATGCATAAATGTCAGCCACACCTCTTGGGCATATGAACTGTCAATTAATTTAGCCTGGAAGCATTTCCAGCAGGAACACTGACTGTTCACAGCCCCAGAGAGACCCTGTCTGGAACACTTTGTACAGTTCTCATCAGGCACTTTCCAAAACAAAGAAGATTAAATTTCTCAAGTACACAAAAAAATGGTTTTTGGAGATGGTACCTGAAGGCCTCCATCTACTTAAGTTCTCTAAATATCAGTAAAGGGTACCAAAAAGCTGCTTAGCTGCAACTAGGGCTTGATTATTATGGAAGGAGAGATATGACTGCCCATGAAAATTAGGATGGTCTTGATGTCCTAGAATATCATATCCATTTTCAAAGAGACTTCAGGAGCCCGGAGGGCCTTTGAGTTCCTGGAGGTTTTGCTGGCAGGGCACAGGGAGACAGCCAAGGGCAGCCCCCTTTTTGGTAACTACAGACTGCTGGTCTGGTCTTTCAGAGGCAGGACTGAGCCCCAGCAATCTGCTGGGCTTCTAGCAGGTTGTCTGTGAAACCAACACAGTCCCCCTAAAACATTTTGTATTGGACAAGCAGACAAATTCCAATCAAATTAACTACATAATAAAAAATTAAAATCTTTCCTTAAAAACCATCCAGTGAGCTGTAGTCTTCATGCTGCCCATATAATGTGTGAACTACAGAAGTCCTGATGGTCTTCTGCATGCAACAAACATCTTCACCTCTTGGGAAAAATCAGTCTAAGACATCTGACTGTAGTTTCCAAGGGGCTGCTGCTGCACTTCATCAAAGGCTAGACAGGTGCACTCTACTCCTGAGCCACCACAGACTTCAGGTGGGAATCTGACTATTCATATCTCAAAATTTCCAAAGGCCTTATTCCAGAGCACAGCCCTTGTTATCACAGAACTAACAGGGACACAAAATCCAATCATAACACTAAAATTCATACTAGTAACCTACATCTCTTGACAGACTCCCTAATAATTCTAACCCCGATACACTGGCATCCACCCAGACTGAATCACAACATTCACAATTTAAGTGACAATTCACTTTATCAGTCCTTTGAACACACAGGGAAGAGGGGACCCCTCTGTCATCCTGACAGAACTCTAAACCCAAGCATGATTCCACTTCAGAGGGAGAATCAAACAACAGGCTAAATAAGAAACCTAGCTAAGAGCTAGGCATTCACGGAGGAAATCTAGATGGTAAGACCAACACATCTCCAACTGCATTTGTTTTTCAGGAACAAATGAAGAAGTTTAACTAGAACAAGAAATAAAATACCATCACCATCTGGGCTTATCATGTTCCTTCACAAAATGAGCCAGCTCAGAAACAAACAGCCAGAATGATCTCTTCATTCTTGTGGCCAGTGACAGGACATCTTGAGCACTGGAACAGGCTCTCCAGGAAAGTGGTCACAGCACCAAGCCTGACAGAATAAGCTTTTGGACACATGGTATCTTGGGAATGGTGCTGGGCAGGGCCAGGAGTTGGACATGATGATCCTTGTGGGTCCCGTCCAACCCTGGCATTTTCTTGGATTTGATGATTCTATGACCCAGCCTCAATGAAGTTAGAAGGAAATACTGGAACTGCACAATGATTTCTGCCACCATGAGATAACTCAATTAGCCCTTCGTCACTGCGGGCTTGGATTACTTTTTTGGGTTGTTGTCCTTTTTTAGCTTTGTCTGATCTCTCTCTTTTCTCCCTCTAATCTAACCTTCTCTTTTGTCAAAGACCTATGTTTAGGAGTTACAAATGTAACAGTAGTTTTCATGTACTTCTACAGAGGGCTTCTGGGCCAGTATCTATTTCACAATATTGACAGCTCTCTGGCTCCTAATTATCTCCTGCTGGGAGTGCTTTTAGCATTCCACATTACTTCAGTGACCTTTTATAAAATAAATCAACCTAACTCAGGCAGGTTTCCTTCTTTTCCTCAATCGTGCAATTTCACTCTGAAATTACAGGTCAGGTTGCAAACAGGCAACAGTCACTCCTGCACCTGTGACAACATCCTTCCAGGCCAGAATATGAGAATTTAACATTGTCTGAATAAGAACTCTCCTCCTCCCAGTGGGATGAACAGCATAAGCTTAAGAAAGTTCCAAAATACTGGTTTCTACATGCCCAGGGAAGCCACTTTTAGGTCACCTTTCAAATTCTCATTGAATTGATGGTAATTAAGAAGTTTGGCCTTTCTTCTGGAAATACAGCAACAAATGACTGTCTCACTGAAGAGTTAAAAACTCTCTCAAACATATCTCACATAGTTTCTCTGTAATATCATGGGGTGTGTGGAACAGATTAATTTCCCATCTGGTCTATGAATTTGTTTGCATTATTTGTTTCTATTAGCAACTACAACTTACTAGAAACCACACAAGCATACCGACAGACACAGTTCTTACCAAGAAAATCAAAATAAATAAGAAAAAAATGAGAAGGGATGCAACAGAGAACAGATGAATCTTTTGTAAGTGTTTAAGTCAATGGTTTATGACATCCTTTTAAGAGACTGTTTATGGACAAAATTATTATTTCTTAAAGCAGTATCAATATTTAAGTTGTCTGATTGAAATGCAGCATACTTCAGCAGAGACTCTCTTCAACTCAGCTCCTGGCTTACAAACAAACTCATACAACTGTGTGCAGGACATACTTTTGACTCACTTCTAACAATCAGATACATGGACCATGATCTGTTTACTCTTTAATGAATACCTCTACTCTCACACATCACAGAAGGGATGGGGGCGCTTTTCAGGGGGAGTTTGAATGAAGGGAAAGACCTCTGCAGATCAGTTCAGGAAGGGTGTTCCACAACTGAGAAATGTCCAAGAGACAGCTGTGGTAGATTATCAGCATTAGTTTTTTATAGTCCTGTTACATACAAGTAGGGAAGACCCAAACACATATATAAATAATATTGATGAAATCATGTCTGAGTACAGATATACCTTTTTCCCCAACTACTCCACAAATGATGTACTCTTCCTGATACCCTTCCTCTGGAATTACAGCTTCAGTGGAAACACAACCCTCTCTGTTTAACTCCTAAATTTTTGCGCAGTATGTTAAATAATTTGTCACATTTTTAGTTTATTTGTTCCTCACTCTGAATAAAAGACTCATTAACATTTAAATCCTAGAGAAGCTCTGAACACACATTAGTTTTGTGGCCCTGTAAGATTTTTTGTGATGCTGCTTGCTAAAACTTATCCCCATTTCATTAAAAACAAATGGGATATGACTTCAATTACAACTGAGTGGAAACTGAGGTGTAATATCCACACAGTGTGTAAAACTGTAACCAAAAATGAACTTTCACACCTTAATATCCTTTAGCTAAGAGCAGCAGGAATGAGTGTGAAATCAGCACTGCTGTATATTAATCTGTTTTAGGCTATTCTGGTTTAATGTTAAAATGTGAACTATAAAAACCTCTGGAGTCTGCTCCTATTACTACCTTGTCATCCTGGTAATTTATGTTTCACAAAGGTTTTCAATTTCAGAGTGTCGGACTTTGAAAAAATAGAGGGAATAAATTAACAACATGAATTAAAGGAGGAAGAGGACTGGAATTTCTTTAAAGCAAAAGTAGAGAAAATAATATAGAACCTGCATTTCACACATGGGCATACTTGTGAGAGGAAATTTGGCCTCTTATTGAACAGCCACCTAACCAGAAGCTGCCTAAAAAGAAGGAGGTGATAAAGGATGAATGAAAGTACTGATCTACAAGAAAAGCAGGATTTTGGATGTCTGGAAGTGCAGAGATTATGGAGCAAATGCCACAATTTACAGTAAAGTGGATTTTGAAGAGGAGGTCAAACCAAAGAACATCAAGGTCTTAAGTAGAAATAGAAACAGAAAAAGCAAAAAGGTAGTAAATGAAGATTTGATCTCAGTTTTATGGCAGCACAGAGCCTGGAGACAATAGCAGGATGGACATTAGGAGCATGCATAGAAGTAGAGGCCAATGCACTATCTCTGTCTCTGAACAGTGAATAAACCAGTCCCAGAAACAGACCTAAAACAAAAAGATCCCCACTCAGGTAACTGGTGAAAGACATAAATGCAAAGCCATTCATTTATAGAGGATGAAAACACTGTGTGTTAATATGGGAATGTTAGTATGCAAACTGCTAAAAGCGATTGTAATGGAAACATTTATCAGTAGCATGGAGATAAATGAGGAAAATGGAACAGGCTCCCAAGAATTGCACATGACAGGCTAAACAGGTATTTTTCCTTGGCAAGATCTCCAACTGGGTTTCATTAAAATATGAAGGTTCACGCAGAGAGTTAAACTGGCAGCTGGGAAGAAGAGAAATACCAGTGGTTGTGCTGTTGCAAGAGCCATTGGGATGGAAGAAAGTAAACAGAGAAGGCCTGGAATCAAGCTTTATATTATATTTTCCATTTATAGTAGGGCACATAAATGGAAGCTCACCTAATATTACAAAAGAGCTCATTCACACCTAAACTTTGTTGTCTAAAAATCAGGCCTTCACTGGAAAAGAGTTACTCCTTTCATAGTCAATGTAGAAACATTGAGGAGGAAAAGTGTGTCTAAAGATGTCCAAGACAGTTCATTCTTTCCAGTGCCTGTAGAGGAAGTCTAGATGATTTTATTAAGCAAACAGTGTAACTTTCAGACAGCTACATCATGCTATTTAGTGGCTGGATTACGAGACAAAGATCAAAGAGAAAACATTTAATTCCTGCAATGCAAGAGAATTAACTTTCTGCAATCCATGTATACACATGGAAGAGGGTTTGGGTTTATCTTGACCACACCTGGTATTCAATTGTACCTAATAAATAGGATCCCTCTATTAACACATCCCAGTTTTCTGCTGCCTACTTTCAAAAGAGCAATGCTAGCCTAAAGGTTTGTGGGGTGAAGTTCAGAGGCCAAAAAGGTCCAGTTACCAAAAAACATCTGCCTTTAGCAACCTCTCAGCAACTTTCTTACTGCTGAGATACAAACCTCAGAGAGCAGGTATGGGAATTGGAACACAAATCCATTTTTTTTTTACTTTTCAGTTCTCAGCAATTCTTCATCTCTGAGCTTTGCACTCTCAGAACTTAATGACAGGTTGCTGCATAAGGAATTACTAATGCAACTTATATGAAGCACACCATGAAATCCAAAGATAGGTTCTTTTGTACAGCATGCCAAAACCGTTTTCTTACATATAATCATATATTAATATATATTATCAATAATAATGTATCTTTATGCATGATCTGCCTGCAGCACAGCATTTGGTGAAATCCATGTCAGCTAAAATTTCAAGTTGCACAGTCCTGAATGTGACATTGCAAATGAAAAAACTGTGCATACTATCAGCTTTTTTCCCCTTCCGCTGCTTGCTCTCTTTTCCACAACATCACTCCTTTATCCTAACACACAAATCAGGAGTTATATCCTCAGCAATGTTAGTGCTACAATAATGTTTTCTCAATACTCACTTTTGGCACATGTGGATTAAATTCTACTGCTCTGTGTATAGCTTCTACTGCATTCATCTCTGCAGTACTCAGCCCTCGCCTTGAGGCAGCCTCTGGAGAAAATCTACAAAAGCAAAGAAACAAACACATTAGGTCAGAAATGCTAGTAACAAAAAGTTAGAAAAGAAATCTAGAACATGGGCCCACGTAACCAAACTGAGTAATTTTCCTATGCTCTCCAAACTTCCATAGCAAGTGGAATCTCTGAGTGATCTATTACATCAAGGCCAATAAAAATCCAGCAGAAGCGGAAAGCATGTTTGTATCTAATCATGGCAGAAAGTCAGTTCAAACAGTCCCTTCTCTGTCACTAATCTAAATTTGCTCTAGGTACCTTGCTAGGGGCATATTCAAGGCTAATATTGCAGGAAAAAAAAAAAAGGAAAGAAAAGGAAAAATAACAAGACCAAAAAAACCCCCAAAAAACCAATGCCAAATTATTGTTGGAGGGTTTCTATTAAAAACAGGTTTGGGGAAGTTTTAGGAAGGTTCCCAACCCAATGCCCCTGGGTCAGGGTGAGATGGAAGCACGATGCAGCAGCAGTAGCAGGTGGTCTACTGGCTGCAGCACCATTGAGGGTAGCATGCCCAAACTGTGGGCAAATCATCTGCCCCAGTGAATAAAAAACCAGACCATGCAATCTCTTTCTCACCTCACACCCCACGGCTAACTCCAGAGCTGTACTTGGCAGGCAGACACCACAGGGAAAGCTGTGACAACCTTAGCCCTGCCCTCCCAAGCTGGAGTCGCTGTGTAGGGAGGAAAGATGTTGCAGTAGGTACTGGCGATCTACAGGATAAAAAGAATGAAAGAAAATTACTTAGATCTTGATGTGTACATACACTTTAAAAGCAAAAACTGTCAGGATGTCAGTCAAGAAAATGGCTTTCCACTCCACTTGCTTTTGAACTTTAGGGAGCATTCAACCCTCAGGTGCACAGACACAACTCTGCCTGGGATTTGTGTGAAGGCATCTGAGAGCAGAATGGGGATTTTTGAGCTCCATCTCACAAGGAGCTGAGCACCCTTTCAGACTGGGCCAGTGCTCTCAAGTCCACAGGCATCAAAGAGATGTGCTCAGCACCTTGGAAGGTTGAGACCCAAGAGAAAAACATAAAAGGAATGAACAGATATTTGTGTCTCTAAAAATATGAACGTCATCTACCTCTCAGAATCCCTGACATAATAATGCTAAATCTACCTGCTGCTATTTAGTCTGCTGACAGTACTTGTAAAATGACATTGTTACCAGTGCATCCACATTTAGTTGTTACCTTTTTGTGCTCAGGTTTACACAAAGTTGAAGAGATTCAGCCACACAACCCTTTTCAGTTGCATCTTCACTATACTATCTAGGAAGCCAAAGCTCACCCAGACAGTATATATAAAACTGAAACAAGAACTGAATTTATGCTATTTCTCTTCTTTTCTTCTTCCTTAGTATCTCAAGTGCAATATTTGATCACTACAATTTTTTTTATATATAAGGTAATTTTATCAATTTACTGCAGGTCTTAATTTTCCTGCTAAATCAGCGGATTGTTAGGGTGTGGGCTCAGCTAAGAAAAGTCTTACATTAGATCAGGAATTTTGCTGGACAGTGGTTCTTAAGCACTTACTTGTCAGAGACAGCTCTGGCTTTGAGCAATGCAGCTGTGTAACATATTGTTGCTGATTTTGGTAAACTTATATCTGTTGAAAAGAAAGGAAAAAAGTAAACATTTGAAAACTTAAAAGCATGCAGAAAGAAAAGTGTTTGATTGATACTTAAGAGTAAGCATGACATACAAAAAATTAGTACGTGAACTCAGAATACTTTCTCATCTTGGGACTTATGCTGCCACATTACATGGATTTTTAAATTTTCACCTGATATACAGGTTTTAAAATGTGTGTTAATGACCTCTGGAATTGCTATTTAAACAGCACCTAGTTTCATTAGAGGACTAATTCAAAGGGTGACATGATAGAGACATAATGAAAGAATTTGTTACTTCATATAGAAATGTATAGGTAACTTGGAATACCTGAATTTTTCCACAGTTCAAAAAATATTTAAGTAATAGGTGAGGGCTATCTTATTCTTCATGTTTCACTGAAAAGCAGTTGTCTAATATGAGTATGTGGCAGCTATACAAGTTAAGACAGCTATTCAAATAATAATGAATTTGATTTGCAAACAACCAACCAGTAGATTGATTGAAATTAAAGATCAACAGTAAAATAAGGTGTTTTGCCTCTTAAGAAAATATTGGATCAAAACACACATTTACCAGACACTCTCAGGCCATTTTATCGTCTTCCAGAGACACGCAGGAACCATAAACTCAGCTTAACCCATTAGTTAATTTATAAGTGTTTTCTACCAGCAAATTGGCACAACGCATTCAAAAGGTAGAGAGAAATGCTGTTTAACAGACTTGAGTGATATATTTGTTCTCACTGTTACAGAGAATTGACTTCCACATTTTTTAAACTCATGATGTGACCCCTGGAGATGTCCTGTGCAGGGCTAAGAGTTGGACTTGATGATCCTTGTGGGTCCCTTCCAACTCAGCTTGTTCTGTGATTCTGTGATCTACCCAGCAGTCACATATTGAGACTGAAATATTCCAGCATTAAAAATTTAAAGATTACAGCTACATGAAAAATCCCCAAACCGCAACAAACCAAACCCACTAAAGGCTGGATTCTGGAAACCCTTCTGTACATGCTGATAACTTCCTATAGCGAACAGAAAACACAGCACAGCAAAACACAAGGCAGTGAAGTAGGTCCACTGTAGAAGTGAGGAGCAGCTGATTTGACTGCTGCTCTAAGAAACTATCTGTCCCTTGATTTGTCATTAAACTTGACTAGAAAAAAAAAAAAAATTACCATAACTTGGTTACTTTAGGATTAACAGACACTTTTTGTTCCCTGAACTCATGTGCCTAGCAAGATAAGGCTCCAGAAGGGAGTTAAATAGGACAAGCAAGTCATATCTCAGCAGTCACCATCCTTCTCTTATTAATAACCAAGTAACCAGGCACAATGTTATTCTGTGAGACAGAAAATATTGCCAGAACAACTGAAACACTTTGAAATGGCTACCTGTTAAATCATATAATCTTTTTATGCACTTGCACTTCAAGCATGAGATGTACAGATCCTGCTGGATGTTTCCCTATAATATATTGCAGCTATAATTTCACTGGAGTATGCAGCTGTAGTGACTAAAGTAATTAAAATCAACAGCATGCTGAGCAGTTTGGATGACAGATACGTTAATTACTCCACTAACAGAAGACAGCTACAGACACAGGCATGAACAGACCTTCAAGGACAGGAAGAGAAAATATTTCTGAACACATACAATAATCTTCTTTACACCAAGTTATCAGGAGTTACAAGTTATTTCCAGTAAAAAGAAATGCCTTTTAAATATATTAAAACAAAACACAGTATCACAAAGCACTTTCTTCTAGTAGACAGTAAGTGTTCCTGAGTTGGAAACATCTGTGCATATAGATTGCAAGATGATTCACAGTGAACAGCTGGCATCTGCAAGGAAGAGGAATGTGGTGAGATGAGCTAAGGCTCAGATATACCATGTGAGTCCTTTCTGAAAATGAAATGGGATTTCTCAGAGAATGTTGTGTTTGAATCTGATCACCCATGGTCAAGAACAACAAAAGCAAACAGGACTGGACTGTTTTTGTATCAAACCGAATGAAATAAAGACTGAGAGAAGATCCAACTGTTTCCTATGCAGACTCACACAGAACACCAGGAGAGAATGATTGCTTAAGTAAAGGACAACACTGGCACAAGAATAAAGAGTTCAGAATTAAATTTAGGCCACAGATTAAAAGGAAGTTTCTGTGAAATAAACATTTGAGGGAGATTTCCAGGTAGAACAGTGGGGCAGAACCAACTAATTCTACGATGGAGCTTGCTCAGCTCATGGAAGTGGCAGCGTCATGCAGGGAATGCAACAGCAGGGGCCCTGATTCACCCAGGAGGCCTCTTCCAGTACTATGCTCCTGGAGAGCAATCAGCATTTGTATGAGGATAATACCTATAGACCCCTAGCAATGGAAGAAATAGATACAAATGTTTATCACAGAATCAGAAAGTGGTTGGAATTGGAAGCGAGCTCTGGACATCATTTAGTCCAACTGAGTCAGCCCTAATAGGTCCATGCCTGCTTGCTTTCAAAAGTGGTTTTTTTTGTTACATATTAGACCGTAAGTATTTGGTCCTGCTACATGCTGGTCTATGACTATGATACTTTAAAATCCTCATATAATTTTGGCTTCATCTCCAAAACTGCACCCTGATATTTTAGAGAGAGGCATAAACAATTATGTCTGGTAACAACTTGAATTTAGCAAGGGAATAGTATCCAAACTAGCCCTAGGAGATATGTACTCTGTCAGGAACCAAAGCAAAGTTTTAATAAATGACTGTGTCCAGCTCTGTGAGCCATCTGGCAAAATATCTTCACATACACTCTGTTTCCCACCCTCCTGTGAGTTCTTGGGGAGCTCCCACAATGTGCTGAAAGATGTGACTGCTATTCATCTGTCAAATCCATCAGGACATTTTTGCCTAATAGAAACTGATGTGTCAATCTAGAAAAGGCTCTCCTTCTTTCCTATTGCTTGTATCATTAAACAGAATACAAAAATCTAGACTAAATTTATAAGCATTTTCTTTCAGTAAGCCCCAGTCATGTATGGTGAGGGTTGGGAAAGTGAATTTTTACTATTAATTTATTAATTTGCTTCTTAAGCAGTTGCTTATGAGACTGAACCAATGGAAAGACGCTATGGATATGCAGAATATGCCATGTATCATCTAAAATGGTCACAGGATCTATTGTTCTTATCAATAGCAACTAAACCAAAAAGTTATGAATCTGGATACAGAATGATGGAACATTCCCTACTAAGTCAGCAGCAGGCTCTAAACATGAAGAGACAGGCATGTTGCAATTGCTTTAGTCATTAATAAATGCAAAAATATAAGTCACTATTCACAAAGTATTCCCTATTTTGCACAGGTGGTAGGAAGAACTCCTTATCGATTGAAAGCACTCTAGCAAATAAATGTGTGCAGGCTGGATCAGTGATGACAGAATAGAGATGCAGTTATCTATAAAGACACAAACATTTAGAAAGGAAGTGAATTAAGCTGATACAAGTGGTTAAAAACAAGAGTAGTGTGATGGCAATCATTAAAGAAAAGTATGAGCTGAACATCAGGGGAAAAATACTATCAGAAACATCTAATATCCCATTAGAAAACTGATCCCATTTTCCCACAAAATGTAGTAGAAAACATGCTGGAGGGAGCACAACTATGCTTATGAAAACCAGTTCCGATTCTCTGTACTTTTGGCATTCTTTCTCAGTAGTGGGAAACACCCCAGCCAAACATAAATGGCCACTATGTTAGAATGGGAAAACCATTGCAGCACATACAAGGAGTCTTTATTTTGCCATGACCACAACTACAACTTACACTCTTCAGATATGGAAAGATACACAACTGCTGATTTTAAACATTTCATATGCCACTCTTGCTGACATGCCTAATTTCATATGCCACTCTTGCTGACATGCCTATCGGTGACCAAGCAAGTGTCAGCCACTTTAACTTGACTGAGTTCAATCCTAAATGCCTGTAGAGCGGAAGGAATAGTTTCTGCCAAATGAAGTTAAAAAGAGCAAGACTAATATAAATACTTTATATTTCTTGTGCTTTCGCACAAATAGGAAAAACAAATTACACAAACTGGAGGTCTTGATTTGTGTCTCTTGGAAAAGGTAGATTAGGTTTTGGTATAACCACAACTAAAAGGAACATTCTCTTAAGATACCTCTTTCAAAGAAACAAATGTGTTATAAAATACGGTGTATGAGGGAATGCCTGTTTCCATACTGCCACTTGCTACATCTTGGAAGAAAACTCTTCATTGCACTTAGAACACCTACCCAGTCAGCTCCACCGGGTAGAATATCTCCAAAATGTCAAATATAAATATGGCAAGTAATGAAACTATCAACAAAACCCCTGGAGACCATAGCTATCCATAACTGAAGGCTGCATGCAATTGATTCATCTGCAACTCTCTACAAAAGGATTGCCTTCCTTATAAATAGAATTTACATGCATAATCTGTAAGAACAAGAAGAAATTGGACAGAAGAATGAAGAGAAAAGAAAGTAGCCCTGAATAGGCTACATTTTAGAAAAATCACTTCTCTGTGGTAACTGTTTGGATTTCACTGAGTTAAAAGTATTCCAGAAAAAGAAATCTCTATTTCTAAAGTGTTTCTTCGAAGGCCTGCATTTTGATATAACACTAATTTAAGCAGGATTCTGCTTGAACAAACTGTTACCAAATAAAGAAGTGTCAAAGCAAAGAGCAGAATGAGATCTTCTAGAGCAGAATGAGATAAGACATCCACATTTGGACTCTGGCAAGGCAACATGGTCTTTCTCCTCTGCAAAGGGGTATGTGAGAGAAGAATCTGTCTACGGTGTTCATCCTACAAACCAGAAGGCTTATAGTCTCACTGGAAAACACTGTGATTTTAAAAAATGAAAGCAAAGACAGATTTAGAGAGGAACCATTGCATCACTAAGATTAAATACAGAGGCATCCATTCTTTCTAAATCTGACTTTAAATTGCCAGAAAAGTCTTGAGTTTTCACACAGTGCCCAGATACCACTAAATATCTGTCAAAGCAACAGGCTGCCCAAGGAAATTAATAAATCAGTTGCTCTAAGCATCACTACAAGCAGACCAACTTCCGCAGCCATAACTGTTTCTGCTGTAAATAACATGGATATGTGTTAAATCAGAGCCAAAAATATTTTCAGAATTCAACAGTATTTAGGTCATCCTCACTCTATTGACAGACACTGAACTCTGAAACCATAATGATGTAGCTCAGCAACAGTGCATGCTGTTCCACTAATGAGACTCTTTTTCCATGAATAATGAGTATGGACATCAGCTCTGTTGCCAGGTACATAATATAAACACAATTTAACACATGGCTTTTGGTAAAGCAGTGCATCTGCTAGCAGAGGCTGAGGTTTCACATTATGTGGTCCAACATTTTAGCCCAGGGTGGGAGCAGACTGCAAGGAAATAATTTGTTCATATGTTATCAAAATACAATAAATCAGGTTTGGTCTTAGTCAAAAAAAAACAGTGGAGTGGGACCAACAGAAACTGCAGATAGGAAAGTATAAATGAGTTCAGTGTTTTATTTTCCAATAAATCTTACAACACATGAAGCTGATGAGTTCTAAAATGAGCTGAGACTCCCTGAGACAGGCCTTCTGAGACTTATGAACTGTAAGGGTTATACTGGTTAAGCCTGTGTTTGCTGAGTCCTTTCACAAACCTAGTGCATACGCACACCATACCAAAGTGTGAGCTGAAACTGCCTGTATTCAAACAGCCAAAGTAAGAGCTTGATTTTTAAAAGTCTCATTTGTTTTGACTCTATCAGATGCTTTTGAGAAAATGAAACACACTTTCAAGTTTTATCGGCTTCTATGACATAAAGTGCTGCCATGGTTATTGTTTAAAATCAGGGATCAGTGTTTTTAGTATGCCAGAGTAGACCTTGCACTGGAATTTAGTCTTGAGATTTGAGAATACCCTGTTCTGTCACAGTTCTGTTATTTCCTAGGACTACTACCTCATAACTACATTGCAGACTAGAAGGTGCCAACATACTGCGATGCCTGGGGAAGAAAAACCAGAATTTCTACTCACGTGGTTTTTAACATGGCAAAATAAAGAACACAGAAATCTCTCCCAGTGTCACAGGAATTACTGAAATACAAGGAGCTACTAGAAAGACTCTGATGTTACTTTAACTGCCAATTTCTTCAACCAGACTAAGTACAACCAAGATCTCTCCCTGAGTCATTACTGCTACTGAATGGCAGTACTCAAGGGCCTGGGTGACATTTTGAGCTCAGCTTAGAATGATTCGACTCCAAAAAGAGTTGAAAACATTCCAAACTAGAACTGGTAGGAGTGATTATCACTAACTTTGCTTGTAATCAGCTGCTTATTTATCTTTTTCTTAAATAGCCTCAAGTCTGCCACAGTCTACACAGGAGTCTGAAATCTGGCAGGGTGATCATGTTAGTACTAAGCCAGTGTTCTATTATGAGCCTCATTTAAATTTACCTTAACTTCCTAAGTTATAAGATGTTGGAAGAAAGCAGTTAGCACATATTCAGTGGGAGCTACTGCATTTTTTTTGGCTATAGCATCCAAAGATTCATTGCTCAACAAGTACAGGTCTCAGTACTCCAGTGAACGTGCCCTGTCCCTTTGCCATGGCTGTGTGATGATATGGGCCCAAGTACTGGGGCTGACAGCGAGAGGCCTCTGTGTGAGCTCTTACTGTTCTGCTTTTTGGCAACCAGACAATGCAACAGAGAATAACAAACACAGAGGAGGCAGAAGCCACAGAGAAAAGGGCAGATGGAAAAGATATTAAGACAGAAGTTGGAAAGTGGATGGCAATGTATCTTGACCATCACTGCCCTGAAGAGAAGATTTGGATAGGTAGTTAGGAAAAGCAGAAGAATGGAACTGAGAATCTGTGGTAATGGCTGAACAAAGAGCCTCTAGTAGGAAGTGGGATTAATTAAAAGCTAAAACTGAGCATGCAGAAGAGAAGACAATTCAGTAAGCAAATGAGACAAAAGACCAGCTAATTCCTTAAAAGAATCCATGAGAAAGAGAAATGAGCACTGTGGATATAGGTTCCAGTGTCCATAATGGTAGACATTTATATAACAGTAGCTTAAGTAATGTCCATCTATCCTTTCCAAAACTGTGGATGTTTCAAGCTTTAAAACCTTTGATCAAAGAACATCAGAGATAGTAAAACCTAGCAGTTAATAACATTTTAAAAGCTACAAGATCAACCTGGCAAAAGAGTTAAGAAACATCAAATTAAGGCTACATAGGTTTCACTTAAGTCAGCTGTTTGATCCATGCAGGTTATGATCTCATTTCTAGTTATATCATTATGTAATATTCCTTTCATAAACTCCCATAAGCCAGTGCATAGAATGACACTTTTCTGAGGATGAATGAAGACTGTGTAGCAACACAATAGGAAACTGACAGCTGGAGGCTCCCTCACTGACCTGGTGCAGAACTTGGAAAGTGGCTACTGAGTAAGCCAGGGACTGCAGTAAGAGGAGGAAGAGTGGCACTGTGCAGGCTGAGCAATGCTGCTCTGGAGAACTGAATTGTATTCCTGTTTTTGTCAACAAGTTTTTATGCAATATGAGGAAAACACAGTTAATTTGAACTAAACAAAGTGTGCCAGTTTGTGCTTCTCCCTCTGCCTCTCTGAAACCCTGGTATCTTCAAGTTTAAAGAGCGAGAACTCCAGCAGCTGTGATTTGAACATCAAGAGTTGCAATGCTGCATAAACCAATATTTACTGAAAAACAAAACAAAACAAATAATAAAATGTCCACCTAGTCTTCAGAGATTTCCAAGGCTTCCCTATAAGACATGAAGTCTGCTACTCTCTAGACTGCTATGTGGTTAAATTAGTGTCTTCTTCTATGCTACTAAGTCAACATTCACAGGTAAGTCCATGGGGGAACTGATAATTTTTTCTTCAGAATAGGTTTGAATAGTATGCAATAAAAATTCTGCAGAACCTAAACAGTCATTCTTTAAACATCAACAGAAAACAAAGAAAGCACAGGGACGCTGCTAGTGAGTACCATCACCCTCTACAATGATTTCAGCATGCCTTGGCAGAAAAAAATGCACAGTATTTAATCTTTGGATAAAATATTGTGTAAGGGCATGTATGAAGCTCATGCCTAAGAATTTAATTACAATGTTTTCTAAATTTTAGGAGTTTGACTTAAATATATTTTATCTGTGTGTATCACCTACAGAAAATAGAAATAGGTATTTGAACTTACCATCATACTTTGCTAAGACTGCCTGGACATCTGCATATGCTTGCAGTTCCAACAAAGCCTCTAGCAGGTTTTCGTGGATGTTGAACATGCTGAGCAGGGGAAACTCCTTCATCAACTACAATCAATAACATATGAAAGGGTTAGATTATTAAATGGAGAAGGGTTTCTTGTTCAAAATGCATTGAAATAAACAACACCAGGTTAAAACTCCTCAGCTCCCCTTGCTTTTAATTAATTCCCTGAGTTCACTATTACCTCAAATTTCTGAGCTCATAATGGATACTAGGTCAGTTTCTTGTCAAGACATGCTTCTATAGGATGTAATTAGTCAAATCCAACAACTCAGCTATCTAAACACATAACTCTCCTTCAATCAACAGGTTTATTCAAAGTGAAAAAGAGTTATTGTTCTGGGAAAGAATCCTCACCAATGTAGCTTCAGTGTATCAGTAGTACATAATCCAGCACCTTTCTGGTATATTAGTGGAAAAACCACAATAACATCAAATGAGAGAAGTTTACATATATGCAACCATATTATCAAGTATGTGATACTTGATATGATTTGATTTGTACTTGCAAATACTTTAGAACACAATTGCAATTGTGGGAAACAAAAAGGAGAAAGGGAAG